ATCAATAACTATGTCATGATACTATTCTCTAGGATTGGAACCATCTGCTCCTTTTTAATACTCACTTCCAGGCCAAGATGCTTAGGAGTGGCTGCCCTATGATCTCTGGCATGCTTGGCATTTGGTACAGACTTTTCTTGAATGAAGTAGTTTGGGAGATCTCTCCCAAGCCAGTTATCTAGGTTGACTCCCCACAGAGCCTTTATACTTGCTGAATTCAATGTTTTGCCATCCTTGTTGCCAGAAATAAGGTTTAGCAATTATTTCCTGCGCATGAGCAGCTCTGCTGTCCTTTTAGAGAAACTGAATAAATCTTGCAGGCTCTTGCAGTTTGGCAAACTGATTTATGAATCCCCTATTAAGCTACAATAGCACAAAGCAGAAGAAAAATCAGAAGCCTGAACTGTCTAGAAAGGTGAGCAAATTCTGTACCATCCTCTTTGGTGTTACACATTTGAGAGTGTAATTATTAATTATGCTGCTAACTTAATCTATACAGTTGCATGTTTTTATGTAGTCATCTAGCACATCGTGCACAAACTATCTTTCTACCCTCCCGTTTTGATTCCATCGACCATGGAATCTTTCTGTTCACCACCTTGCAAAACATGATTTCACTACCACCTGGAAAATCTATCCCAAAAGATGGTAGATGGTAGGCAGCTTTTCAGCTCCATCAAAGTTTATCTATGGAAACCTATAAAGAAAATCATAAAGGATGAATTTTGTTAAATGGATATGATGTAGAGTTTAGTCATAAATGTGGACTGTTTAAAGAGTATGGGATGGCCACATCCGTGACAAAGATGGTGTTATTGTGACGCACAACCTACAAAGAGATTAGTTTTTTAAGCATACCTGAAGAATTCTGACTAAAAGGTTATAAGAGGAGCAAAATTTTAGAAGTTCAGTGTGGCTTTTGGCTGGGGGCACAGGCTGGATGCCTGATCTTCAGTGAATTCCTGACAAACATATGAACTGGAGAAACTACATTCTCATTTGTTGAGTCAAACAAGTGTGTGATGAAATGAACATGTTTCCATAGATTTGTAAGATGCCTAAGGAATGAATCTGTATGACACAATGAGGACTAGGGATCTGAAACTTAATTCATAAAATATCAAAGGGGATTAGAAGGATGAGCAAAAGCAGTTGTGCCAAAAAAGTGAAAGCAAGAGGACGTGATTAATCTATGTACCTCCTCTACTTACTAAAAAGGTGAAAATGGATGGGGGAAATTTTAAAATATGCAAATGATAACATATTTATTGTAAGTTTGGTTACAAGAAGTAAATGTTTTCAACTTTACTACCTGTAAATTGGGTGTATCAGAAGAAAAAAGCTCCATGCCAAGACATTAGCAGCTTAAGTAGCAGGTAAAACAAGAAGCACCAAGAATGAATGAGTGCTGACAAGACACACTTGGAGTAGAACACCAGGTCCAACTCTGCTTGCCACAATACAAAAGGGACGCTGAGCAACAAAGATGGTGAGCGGCTTGGATGCAAAATCCTGACGAGTGCTGGCAAGAACTGTGTATTTTTAGCCTAAAGAAGATAAGGCTAATGAGAGATAAAACAAGCACTCTTCCATAATGGAAGGCTCAGCACTGGGAATAGAATAGGGTAGGACAAGAATGGAAGTTTTACAAGGTGAAATCCAGCCTAGTTTACATAAGGCAGAATTTCCTGACTGTGAGAAGCAGTGGAATAGTTGGCCTCCCACCTTGGAACTAACAGTTTTCAACAAAAGATAGGAGAGCCATTGATCTGGGATGCTCTGAGGATACCCACTCTGGGAAGGGGGTTGGGAGTAAGGCTGAAGGGTATAACTGACTCAAAAGGGGGAGGGGGAAAGGAGAGGCATCATATGTAAAGGAAGGGAACAAGCAGAGACTAAGGAAATGAGCATAGAGGGCCCAGTCAAAAGCATCTGGGCAACAGAAGAAAAGGATATTATTATTGTGGAGGTGTGATTCCTTTTTCAAGCCAGCTATAAAATCTGGATTGTTCCTTTCTGGGCCATGTTACAGAACTTTCAGAGAAGTGCCTTAATAACAGTGAGAGACTTCGGCTACTCAGATATCTACTGGAAAACCATTTCAACCAGACTGCCCAAAGATTCCTCGTAACTGTCACTATCTATTTAATTTTTTAGAAACTAGAGAAGAGTCAAAGAGATTGGCTGCTCAAAGAAGTAAAAGGAATAAGTAGATTAGGAGGAAGTGACCACAACATTTTGAGTCTAAGATACAACAGAGAGAGACTGGAGCATAGCCATACATGCATATTAATTTCAAAAAAAGCCAATTTCAACAAGTTTGAAGAAGTATTAGGCGACAGTATCCCTGGGACAGAAATCCTTAAAACAAAAGGAGCACAAATGGGTTGGAAACTTCTCAGAAATACAGGTGGTCTTCTGTTTACAACCAGTAGTTCAGTGATTGTTCAAATTTATGTGGAATGCTGCCCATCGCAGCATTCTTCTGGTCACATGATAATGATTTCAATGTTCCTTCCCAGTTTCCAAAAGCACAGACAATGGGGGAAACTGGCAAGAATTCAGAAGTTAAGCAAGGTCATATGAGGTCACATATTCCTCCCTAAAGACAGCAACCAGAATTGTCAGGGAAAGCTGACACTAAGTCATGCATTCATGTGATCTCATGCTTTCTGACATGCCTCTGTCCTGTATCAAAGGGGTTAATGGAAAGATTGCAACTACTGTGCTAATATGCAAACTGTTAAACATATTGTGCAAGATTGCCCACATGAATTGCCCATGTGAATTCTCTGCATGAAGCAACATCAGACAAATGCCTGGATAGCTGAATTGGACATCCAATTATGAGGCCACTGCCGTACCCATCCACTGATCAGCTGTTCGGCAATGGAACAAGCTACTTTGGGAGGTGCTAGAGCTGCTTACAAAGGCTGAATAGCCCTCCATCAGAAAGCTGTAGCATTGGAATCCCACACTGGGAAGGGGGCTGGATAAAAAAAAAATCAGGCACAATAAATAACTTGGCATTAATGATCATTCTCCTCTTGTGAGGAGAGAAGGTTTTAACTTTTTACCCAATCAAAGCTCTGATTATACTTACGCCTCACGTTCCTCACGATCTCGTTTGATTCGCTTCAATTCTCGCACTTTCCAAGCTTCATATTCTTCTTCATCATTCTCATCATCGGTATCCAAAGCATCAAGGGCTGCCAAAGAACGCCTGTTCTCCTCCAATTCCTTCTTGGCTTCTTCTTCTACAATCTGCAGCAATTTAGGGGAGAGTAAGCCTCCTGAAGGACCACATTTCTTGTGTCTCAATCACCTGCTCCTTCCTTTCCCAATACCTTCAGCGTGTACTTGCGCCTTTCTTCAGCCATACGTTTGGCCTCTTGCTCCAGTTCCTTCTGCTTCAGTGCCTCTGCTTCTCGCTCCTGGACTGTGATTCGGTCCTTTCTGCAACAGATATTTGTGCCGAGTTGAATATCATCCAAATTAAATATTTTCTAGAAGAAACTTTATTAGAATTCACACCCATCGCTGCAAGAAAAATGCCTTGGAGCTGTAATTATATGCCACCAACATATTAAAAGAAAAGCTGTGAAATACCACTCAGCCTAAAGAGATCAATGCCCACTGTCACCTCCTCCCCTTCCTTTTCTTAACTAATGGAACTTGCTTGCGAATGAAGACAGGTTTAAGACGTGGTTCAGTTTCATCTTCACTATCTGTATACTCCTCATATTCAGACTCAGTTTCAGACTCCTCCCCAGAACGGCCTTCATCTTCCAGTTCCATCACTTCCATCTCCTCATTCTTGCGTTCCTGAGCACGTTGGCGCATCATATTACGTCGACGTTCAATTTCCTGTTAAGGAGAGATAAAGGGAAAAGGTTATCATGTGTCCATGTATCCCTTACCCATTCCAACCGGTCAGGTATCAATTTATGGCTATATTAAAATTACACAAGTGTAGGCTCTTTACATGTTAAATGGTCCAGATCCAGCTCCTGGAATCTCTAGCAAAAGAATCTTGGCCATTTCTTGTGGGAAAATGGCCAAGATTCTAGATGCTACCAATCAGAACACTGGGCTACTGCAAAAATATTCCCCCACATTTCTAAATTCAGCTGGGCTCATTGCTGCCGCTCCTGCAAACCTCCAATATTTGCTCAAAGGTGCAGTCCAATGCCAAACGCCACACTTGGCTCTTCCGCCTGTACATACCTCATCGTCTACCTCTTCCTCTTCTTCCTCACTGGTGTCCTCACGCTCCACATGCCAAGCTTCGCCCTCCACTTCAGAATCGCTCTCCCCCACCACTTCTGGCTCCACAATCTTGCGGTGCCTTGCCAGCCTGGAAAACAAAGGCCGTTTTCCTCTCTCTGCCTCTGCTGGGTCGCAAAAAAGAATCCAGGCTTGGCCCAGGTAGCCTGGCTGCCACTCACCTCTCTTCCACATCCTCACTGACGCGGTTCTGCAGGCGCCGCAGCCGGGGGTCGCTAGCCAGCTCCTCCTCCTGCTCCTCGGGCTCCAGCTCCTGCTCCTTGGCCTTCTTAATGAACTGGAACTCCTCGTCTTCCTCGTCGGAGGACTCCATGGGCGCATAGTCGGGGCGCTTCCCCGAGACGTACCGCTTCACCTTCACCTTCTCCATGGAAATCTCCCCTGGAAGAGGCGGGCGGGGTTCAGGCTTTCCAGCTGAGTCCTGCACCCCCTCTTCCTTTCCCTCCGCCTCTCCCCGCCGAGGAGCCCCCCTTCCGCCCCCTCCTCACCCTTCTCGTTGCGGACGGGAACGGCCCCCGCCGTGGACTGGATCGGGGGCTGCTTCATGAGGGCGCTGCTGGAGCCCGACATGGTGATGGGGGGTGGGGGCTGCGAGGAAGGACGGCAGCTCGACCGCCGCGCGTAAACACAGGACTGACGGGGGACAGGCTTCCGCTTCCGGCTGCTCTGGCCTGCTTCCGCTTCCGGGGGCCGTGGGGGCGGACCCTCGCGACCTTCCGTTGGAGCTGCACCTGCGCACTTTTTTCCGAGGAGGGGCTTAAGCGGGGCCTGGGAGACAACCCGAAAGCTCTGGGGTGTCGCTCCGGCTTTCGAGTCCGGATGTCAAGCTCGCACCTTGGCGTAAGGGAATGGAAGCGCCTAAAGCCCGGGGGTGGGCGGGGAGGCTTGCCGCCTCTGCCCGGCGCGTGGATGGGACCGTCAGTCGGTTGCGAAGGAGCAGGCGGACATCTTTCTGACCGAACAAAGAGGAATTATTCAACAATTATTCGCCAATCTGGAAACAGCGGTACATATGTTAGAGGGAATAATAAAATATACTTGGCAAGGAAGAATTGCAGCAATCATATTTTCTATTTCAAGTGGTTCCAATTCCAAACCCAATAAGGTATTTAATGGCTGGCATGGACTAATAAGGAGTCGTATATAATCCAGCAAAGGGGCAAATATTAAATTCAAGAATTTCCAAGATTCAAAAGAGCAAGGTGCCCCCCCCCCGCCAAGTTTCAAATTCTACTGCCGTGCTGCCTGCCTGAGTGGATTTCAGCGTGAATTATATTTCAGAGTGGTTCCATCATCTTAATGGAAGACCTACCAGAAAGGCTGTAGGTATATTTGGGTGGATGTACACTTTTTTCCCTTCAAAATATTTAATATATTGAAATTATTTAGCAATTTATTAAAAGTTTGGGATAAATAAAGGAAAGGAATAACTCCATATGTCTCCTTTCTTGATTCCATATTGAATGTCTGTTTATATGAGGAAGGACTAAAATTTGCTCAGTGCAGACACAATAATCCATTTAGATTACAATATTTTATTAATAGAGCAAAATTAAGATCTCTCCAGCCACATGCTATTCCAACCTTGTAAGGGTGCTGTGTGAACTAAAAGGAATGTTGAAAACAGTTGAATCACTCAGTGGAGAAATAGAGTAACTTAAGATGGTTTCTTTAAAAAACTTGAGAAAACTCATGTCATTTGGCTGGCTGTGGTGCTGGGGCTTTCTTGATCATACACTTTTATACAAACATATTTTCAAAGCAGAACTATGTTCCTATTGTTTAATGTTAAGGAAAACACACCATTAGCCAAATTTTCTGCAATTGTGTATTCAGCATAGGCTTTACTTGTGGCCCCGGAGAAAAACAGAAGAGCAGCTATTTCTGAATGCTGCTTGCTATTTGGTGGAAGATCTCCAAACTTTTGAACAAAGATGTCTGAGAGGTTCCAAGGACACCTTTCAAATCAGGCTGTTTTCTACTAAACGTGAAACCAAACACATTTTCAGTTTAATGCCCAAGTAAGTTTCAGAATTCAGTTTCCTGCCAGAAGTTTTTTTCTCAAATTGCTCACACTCTTCCTTTATTTGCAGATATGGGCAGGTTCGCCTTCCCTGATACAGCCAGAATGCAAAAGCCTTTCATCCCACAATAGGAAAGTTTATGGCTCAGAATGTTGTGGGAACCCAGCCATTATTTTGGTATGTGTGAATTAAGCCATGAGAAGCCAGGCTGAGTGGCTTGGGCACAGACTACCAGGTGCCAAACTCTGGCCTGCTGTAATATTGGTCTGTCTGGCTGTGTAGGTAGATATCTTACCTGGTATTGGTGAGGGGAAGAGAATGACCATCAGCCTGCTGGGTTAGGGCAGAGATCAGTGTCTATCCTTTTAACAACCAGCGTTGCTGTGTTAATGGATGTTTCCAGTGCAGAGAGCAGCAGGCCACTTCCTGTGTGGTATTCATAGCAAGGCCTAGGACCCAACCTACTATGAATGTTTGTTCGTGGTATGAAGCTTTCACCTTGCCAGGTGCTGTGATTTCCAATATCAAATAACTCAGTTCTGCTTCTAGGCCAAGGGATGGTTTCCTACTGGGCTGGAGCTTTGTTCAGAGACTACCTAGTTGCTTGTGAACATCAAAAAGCTCACAGAGAAAGTTTTTTGGAGCCCAATTTCCAAGCTCTTCAGAAGTAAAAGATGCTAATATGAAAACAGCCGGGACTGTGGCTGCCCACGTGGAGAGTCTTGAGGAGAAATGCAGGAGAGGGGCACCTTCACAGCAGAGGGAACTCAGCTTGGGATGTACCTCCCCTAGTTTCCACGGTTCCTTTCTAACTACCTTCCTGACTGGCCTTGATCCAGGTCAGCTAAGATCAGCCTTCTGGAATGTAAAGCCTTGGCAGCATGCTGGCTGCAGACACTGATCGCAGGCTGTTTCTCCTGGCAGGTTGACTAAGGTGAGGGTCAACAGTTTCTGGTTTGGGAGGTTTTCATATTAAGCAACATGCCACGTTAAAAACATTGTCTGGTTATTTGGGCACAGTACTTTGTGTGACATAGGAATTCGTTTCCTAACATGGGTAAAGTTGAAGATTAGTTTGTTGTGTAAACCTAACCTTTGCTTGACTGGTTTCAAAACAACTGTTTTATTTGTACTCTTCTACAAAGGAAGAATTGCAATGCTGGTAGTCAGTTTTTTTTTTTAAAGAACATGATTCTTTCAAGAATAGAAGATTGTTTTTTTTATTATTGAAAAGTTTTACAAAAAAACCCCAAGAATTTTCTTCCCCCCATGTCATCTCTGCTACTCCTTTGACCCACAATTATTTATGTATCTTAAATAGAAAACTATCTTACAATAGATTTTTACCCCAAAAGTTTTTTATTAAAATAAATTCAATAAAAATAAAAAAAAATCCGATTTAAATCAGAAAAATCTGATTTTTTTGATTTTTTAAAAAAAATCATTGATTTTTATCCACCCTGATTTTCTTACAGGTCCACCATATATGATAATAGGTTGCGTCATTACATTCACATCTCCAACATTTAGCTTGCAAATTCGAATACATACATGATAATTTTTTAGGATCTAAGTGCCATCTATAAAACATTTTATAAAAATTATCTCTCAAATTTTGTGCTTGCATAAATTTAACATTTCTGACCCAGATCTTTTCCCACGTTTCCATCATCACTGGTTTCTGAAAGTTTTGTGCCCATTTTATCATACAATCCTTAACCAATTCCGTTTCTGAATCTATTTCCAATAATGCATTATACAACCTTTTAATATGCATCTGACTTTGATCTCTAATCTGTTTCACCAGATTTTCCTCATTTTGCATAACACCAAATTTTTGATCTTCCCTCCATCTAGCTTGAAGCTGACCATACTGAAACCAAGTATAAATTATCCCTTCTTCTTTTAATTCATCTAAAGATTTCAGTTGCAACTTACCCCTTTCCAAAAAAAGAAGCTCTTTATAAGTAATCACCTCTGTTTTTTGCTCTATACTTATATTTTCTATTGCATGTCTGGGATTTGCCCATATGGGTATCTTATAATTTAGCTTATATTGGTACTTTTTCCAAACCCTGAACAATGCATTTCTAAATATATGACCCTTAAACACTTCATCCACTTTTTTTTTCATATAACAAATAAGCATGCCATCCATATAACAAATCATAACCTTCTATGTTTAACATTCTTTCTTCAGTTAAGTTAAACCAATCACTAATTTGTGATAAAGCTGCTGCTTCATAATACAGTCTTAAGTTAGGCATTTTAAGACCTCCTCTCTCACATATATCCTGTATAATTTTCAGTTTCACTCTTGGTTTCTTCCCAGCCCAAATGAAAGTATTAACCCCTTTCTGCCATTCCATCAAATTTCCATCTTTCTTAAGCACTGGTATCATTTGAAACAAAAATAAAAACCTAGGTAGCACATTCATTTTTATTGCTGCTATCTTTCCCAGTAATGATAGTTATAACTTTTTCCAATTTTCCATTTCTTTCTGTACTTTTTGCCAAAGAATTTCATAATTATTTTTAAACAATTTCGTGTTTGAGGCTGCAATATATACTTCTAGATACTTAATCTTTTTAACTATTTCAAACCCTGTTATTCTCCCTAAGTCTTCTCTTTGAGTTATGGACATATTTTTAGTTATCATCTTTGTCTTATGTAGATTTACTTTAAATCCAGATACCTTGCCATATTGAGCTACTATGTCCAACATATAGGGAGCCGCTTCTATAGGTTGAGATAAAGTAACAACCAGGTCATCTGCAAACGCTCTTAATCTATAATCCTGCTGTCTAATTACAATTAGACAGCAGGACAAAAATTTTATAATCCGTGTTCAAAAGTGAAATTGGCCTAAAATTTTCAGGTTTAGTACAATTTAATTATCTCTGCAATAGCATCAGCACAAATATCTTTTAAATTTTCTTTACTATTTTCTTTCAGGCCTCTCAATCTCAAAGCAAACTCCATGGACCTGTATTGTAACATTCATTACCAATTCATCATCCACTTTCTCTGTTCTGGTCATGTGACATGTGCACTGCTGTCTGTTCTGATTGGCCTGACACAAAATCCATCAGGGGGAGTGTCTTTGGCTCCGAAGAAGCCAAAATTTATTTAGATATGAAGAAAATATGAAAGAGCTTAAAAAACAAATGAAAGAATTTTTTGTAATTAATATGAATAAGGGTACTTCCATGGAAATTTTGGTCTGGGGTGCTAGCAAGGCTTATATGAGGGGTATGTTAATACACATGAATAATAAACATAGACTAAAACAACAAAAGAAGCGGAAGAGATAGAGGAAGAAATAAAAAAGAAAGAACAATAACATCTCCCATTTTGCTTTCCAAATTTAAATTGGCTTGATTAATTTCTTCAACTTTCCCATCAAGCTGGATAACAAGGTTTGACAATCCTGATACAGCATAAACAATATCTTCTCTTATTTCATTGTTTCTCTGCAACCACTTCCTTAATTGAGCTTATATCCTCCTCAACTTTCTTTAATTTCCCTTCCACAAGTGATGTTAAGTTATTCATAGCTTCTTTCATTGCTGTTGCTTGATTGTTCATGGCTTCTTTCATAAATTCTTTAAAATCATTAAGTGCTGCCTCCTGACTCTGACTCTGACTCTGTGAATCAGCCGGAAGTTGTGCTTTCTGTGTCACCACTGACACAACTGGAGAACCTCCCTCTCCTTTAACAACTCCTGGTTTCACTTGTTTAGAAGCCATTTTTCCCCCTTTTAAAGAGATCTTTTTTTTCCCCAAAGCCACAAAGTCTCTTAAACAACTTTAAAATGTTTGTAATTTATAGTCTCTAATTTATCAGGCAGGATGATTTTTTTTCTCCACAAGCTCTCACTTCCCAGCAGTTGATAAGCAGCTAATCCACTCTCCCAGCACAAAGTTCTCAATAAGCACTTTCGTTTCTGGCTTTCACTTTCAAAACCATAACAAAGACGCCATCTTCAGCCTCCAGCTCAATGAAATTCAGTTTGAAACAAAGTAACTTCGGAGTTAAGCTCTGTACTTTTAAAGCTTGTTCTCCTGTTTCCGCTCTGCCTGCGCTTGTAATCAGTCAAACTCACTTTTGAAAGCAGGATCGGATCGCGGCTTCTCGCTCTGCTTTCGCAAAGTTGTCCTGGCTTCGGAGCTTCTTGGCGGGCTGGCTGGGGAGCTCTCACCCTCCAAGCCTCTGGAAATATTCCAGAGGGCTTTCGGGGAGCTCTACTCTCGCCCACTGGCTCTCCTCTCCTTCTTTTCCCGAAGGGGAGGTTTTTCAGCCGCCAGACAGCCGGTTTGCGCTGTCAAAGCAGTTTTTACGAAGACACAGGGCTGGCGGTCTTAAAAGACCGTCCACGGAGTCTGCGGTGCCGACCGGAAGTCTAGAATAGAAGATTGTTAATGATGGTCCCTGACCCTGGAAAGTATATGAATAAGCGTTCTATCAGGATATACTAGTATTAGATAAAAATGCACAATTCTCTTTTCTAAAATTGTAGCCTGCTTTACACATAATGCTATTTCTGGATTTAGTTTTCTTTATTATGGTTTGTATATCAGAATCTAAATTATTTGTATTTTGTCAATCAGCCACATTTCTTATTTCTGGATGCTGAAATATTTTAAACATGGATTGTCTTCCTGCTTGAATCGGAAGCTACTCTTTATGCTCTTTATGGCTTAGGGCCGGGGTACTTACGAGACCGCCTTCTGCCACCAAAAGCCTCCCACCGGCCAGTACGCTCACACAGGGTGGGCCTCCTCAGGGTGCCGTCCGCCAGACAATGTCGGCTGGCGACCCCCAGGGGGAGAGCCTTCTCTGTGGTGGCGCCCACCCTCTGGAACAACCTCCCCCCAGAGTTACGTACAATAACAGACCTCCGGATTTTTCGTCGGGCCCTGAAAACCCATTTATTTCAACTAGCTGGGCTGGCTTGAGTCAAATTTTAAACTGATTTTAAATTGGAATTGTTTTAATCATGGCCAAAAGATTTAATTATTTTAATCAGTTTTTAGATTTTGTATGTTTTGTATGTATGTCTTGTTTTTATTTTCGGCTGTTCACCGCCCTGAGTCCTATATTGGAGAAGGGCGGTATAGAAATTTAAACAAATAAATAAATAAGTAAATAATGCATGTATTTATATGCTGCTTCAATTAACTCTGCCCAGTTAAGATGTGCCAGAATAAGCCTCAGAAATGTGGCAGGCGCAGTGTCCTCAATTCTTACTGTACATCTTTTTCCACTACAAGGCAGATGGAGGACTGACCAGGAAATGCCAAAACACTCACCTCCTCCCACAATGCCAGCAAAAGACCTGTTTAACTGTTGACACAGGAAAAAAACCCAGTCCAGCAAGCCTGATATGGAATTCCCCACAAGTAAACAAATCATCGTAGCTTATGTATGGTGTGACTGTTTCATTCAGGGGGTGCTTCTTGGGCTTGATATTTATGAGGGTTTATCAGGTGAGTGGCTTCCTGCATTGGGCCTTTTTCTGTGTCACTGTAAACAGGTATTTTGCTGGCATTGTGGGAGGAGATGGGTGTTTTTGGCATTTCCAGGTAAGCATTAAACAAATAAGTATATACTGTAGTATGCAGTGATAAATACAAATGAACAATAGAATTAGCAAATGAATAAACAATATGATAAAAATATCAGATAATGATTACAGAACAAATCTTTAATATATCTGTCAGAGCTGCCAATCGCTTTTTTGGCTAATGTTTTCCTCTTCATTAAACAAAAATAATACTTAAAACAGAAAAAGGTTGAATACATGTATCATGAATAAATCCGAAACCTGACTAGGAGAATCCAGAATCTTCTCCCTTGTCCTTCTGTCCTAGAAATAACTATGTGAAACAGGCAGCCAGGGGAGCAAATGGGGTGTGCCCAAGACCACCAACCCCAAAGAATATTGCCATGTTCAGACAATATCTGTGCATAGGAGGAGCTTCTTTTGCCTCCGCAGCCATGCGCCACTGCACAAACATCTTTCTATGGCTGCCAGTCCCACAGCAGCGACTCTGAGTGGATTGAAGAACCAACAATTTCATACTCCAACCCCCAAAGTCCCAGGTTAAAGCAGTAGTCCCAACCTGGAAAAGCAACATTTAGCCGGCAAGGTTCCCCTAAGCCCTTGGCCTGAATGCCAGTTGAACAGCCAGGCCTTTGGTGCCTTATGGGAGGATGCCAGCGTCAGGACCACACAGACGTGGGGCAAGCGCAGGCACAGAGAAAGCATGGCAACAAGTTGTATGCCGGAAGGGACCCACAGTATGCCCTCCCACCAGCTCTGGGGGACAGGGCTGAAGTGCTGGGAGAGGCAGTCCTGCAACAGCCTGGCTGGCTTTATGGGAGATAAGCAGCCCCTTGAATCCCACCAGCAGCCAGAGCAGCTCAAGGAGGCATGGGGTTGCTGCCCAAACATTGCTTCTGGGCCAGCTGAGCCCCGACCAGGCTTATGACTGGCTGATTGAGTGTAATTCTTTGAGAAACTCTTTCAGGCACCCAGGGGCTTCCCAGTGTAGCTGTCTATATAAAACTATATTTATTATAAAAACTGATCACAATCTATCATCTTCAATTTTTTGGAGGAAGGTTATCTGCTTTCCACAAGGCCAAATACTTAGTGAGATTTTAGCAACCACTTAGTGTGTGCGATCAAAAAGAAAATAGGAATTTTCTTCCAGTGTTTTGAGTGAGTTGGATTATAATCAAACAAAGGTTGCCATAAAGTAAAAACCATCGGAAAGAGCTTGGTGTCCGACCCATAAAGACGTCTCAGGCAACCCTATTTGCCAGTTTAAGCACCAAAGTCTTTGGGACATTTATTTTCTCCAAATGCCACACTTCCCTGATGGCATATTTCTTTCTCAGCGGACTTGGAAGACCATCTCAGGATGATTCTGAAGAGGAGGATTCAGAGGGAAAGTGGGGCTTTGGGACGTGTGAAGACCGAAGCTGGCGCTTGCCTGTTTGCAAGGCTGTAGGACTGTTGAAGAAATATAGTGGTTTAGAGCAAGAAAAGGGGTGAGAGGTGTCCTATGTCTAAGTGTGCAGGATAATTAGACTGAAAGAAATGACAGCTGGAATCAAAATTGGAAGCCAAATCACTAACAATTTGCCATATGGAGACAACCCTACTTCGTTAGCAGAAATTAATAAAGACCTAGAATCACTCATTGGAAAATGGCAAATGGAAATACTAAGAAGGCAAAGGTAATGTTAACTGGCCTGGCCCATGAACATACTGACAGGTGATGGCAAAAGGTGAGGCGTCAAGAACGAAAGTGGGTGGAGAAGTTAAGAAGACTGGTCTTAAAGAGGAAGGCAATGACAGATTCCATACTGAAGATGATTTCAACAAGGACAGGTCCCTCCAGGCTTCCTTACAGGGACAAGATGGGGAAACCAGGGGATCAGAGAGGGTAAAAAATACCTGGAGATTTCAGTGGCTTGCATGTGTTACCATGAAGCCAATGGTTAAGAAATGGTGGCCAACTCCCATGAAGAGCGATGGAAAGTACTGGAGAAAAGATATCTGAGGGTAGACATGAAAGTGCTCTTCACACTACTTCCCCAAAAGCGGTCACTGGGGGGCGAACATACCGGTAGCTTCTGGAATGCAGACTGGAGTAAGGGACAAATTAAAAGACCAATTCTAGCTGAAAGTGAGAAAAATCTTCCTAACAGAACAACCTGACTGTGAAACCACTTCCCCAATGGGGGTCTTTAATCAGAGGATCAATGTCAAACATTGGGGAGGCTTTAATTTCCATGCCTGCAGGAGGGTGGGCGTGATGGCCTCGAGAGCTCTTCCAAGCACAGCCGCCTCAATTCATTTTCCAAATAGGATTCCCTACTTCAGAAACGCCCAGCCCAGCGCCGCAACTCCAGAACACCCGACTGGAAGGACGACCGATCGTCTCGTTCGACCAAATCCGCCAGCGCCATTTGGAAGCCCCAGGCCCGCATTTCTTTCCCTTGCGGCCTGTTGCAGCCGAGATCCCAGATTCCCTCCGCACGAATCGGCCGTTTGGATGCCGGTGCTGGGCTCCGTTTGGTTTGCCCTCCCCTTGGAAGCGACGCTTGCCGGGACTTCTCCTTGCTCTTCGAGCCCCTCGGCTTCCAGACTTCGACCATCCCCGGCGCCTCCCCGAGGCTCCTTCGGCGTTTGTCCCCTTCCAAGCGCGGGGCCCAGAAGCGGAGCGAAAGAGAGGCGGCCTCGGATCGCCCGGAGCTCTTTCGCCGCTGTCTCAGGACCTGTCCAGGCTCCGCTCCGGAGCCCTCCCGCGCAGCGGCCACCCGGCTCTCCGCGGGCTCTTCCCGGGTACCGACCGGCCGAGCTCAGCGTCGCCGGCACTTGGCAGAGCGATCGACGAAGCCGCCGGTATCCCCGCGGAAGGCCCAGAGACGCGTCCGCCGCGGGGCAAGCAGAAGCTCCGAGCGGCCTTCGGCCCGCATGGTCCCCGGGGTACGGCCGGCTTCGCCAGCCCCGCCCGTCCGTCCCTCCGCCGCCTCCCCTGCGCCCCGCCGCGCCGCGCGGCGGGGGGCCCGCCGGGGACCGGGGGGCGGCGGGCGGGCGGGCGTGGGGGGAGAGGGTGGCCCTGCCTGCGCGCGAGGGGAGGTGCCGCGCTGAGGCCGCCCCGCCGCCCGCGCGTCAACCAGCGTCAGGCCGCTGCCAGCCTGCCAGCCTGCGGGGCGGGGGCAGCTCGGCTGGGCTTCCCGGTCCGCCTCCCGCCCGCCGCGATGACGCCGCTCCCGCTCGCCCAGGGGCCGAGCGGGCAGCCGCGGTGAACAGAGCGGCGCGAGCCCCGCGGGCTGGAAGGTAAGGCCGACGGCGGGGAAGGGACAGCCGCTCCGGGCCCGCCGCGCTCGGGCGAAGGGCGCGGGCCGCGTCGGGCGGGGGACGGGACGGCGAGGCTTGCTGGCCTTTCGGGCCCGGCTCTGGGCGGTTGCCTTCCGCTCGCCCTCCCCTCCGCCTCGGGGCCCGCATCCAGCCCGGCCGCCGGGTGGGCGAGCGCAGCGCTGGGGCCGAGGCCGGTGCGGCGAGGCGGCCGCGTGCAGCCCCGGGACAGCTGGCCCCGTTGGGATCTGAAGGGCAGGGCGCTCGGGCCGGCGGAGGCGCGTGGAACCTCTGGAGCCCCCCGAGGCCTTCGGGACGGCTTTGCTCCGCGGGGAGGGCTGGGTGCCCGGACCAGGCGCTTCCTCTCGGCCTCCCGCCTCGGGGGGAGGAAGTGGGTGGCCGGGAAGGCTGCCTGCAGTTGTTGCAGCCAAAGCCGGGATGTCTGCGAACCCGCAAGTGAGTCACGGGCCCTGCGGGGGTGGGGAGAGTTTCCGGGGCTAAGTCGCCACGGCACGTCTAACACCTGGCCGTCTGGGGCGAGCTGCGGAAGAAGAACTTGCTTCCTCAGAGCCACGGAAGGGTCCTATGTTGACTAGTGAAGCCAGCTTCTTGTCAGCACCTCTGAGTAGGCAGTGATTTTCCCCCCCTGAGCTGGAGGACCACTTAATCTGGGCTCTGTAGAAGGTCGAGAACTGGAAGGTAAGGACCAGGGATTGGGTGTTTTGGTCCCAAAGAGCCGCCCTGGTTTGCTTGGTCAGCTTCCGCCCAAACTGATGGCCATTTCTGTCCGAAGAGCGCCCCCTCCCCATAGCAGCAGAGCTTCCCAGCATCAGGTGGTCTTAGGTGCCCAAGCTAAGCTGTGGCAGGGCTTCCCCAGCAGAAGTTGTGCAAGAGGAGAGAGATGTGAATCATGCATAGGAATTCCCACCTCCCTTCAATGCCCATTCCCTGCATTACTGGGGTTCTTCTTATTTTTTACTTTCCAAGAATACTCAGTGTGTGTGTGGGGGGGGGAGAGTTAGTGGGGAGGAAAGAAAGACAGTAGAAGGAAATAAATGAGAATTTGGGCTTACTTGCTGGTGTGAGTTGTCTCCAGAAACAACACCTTTTCCTGTGTGCACCATAGCAAGTTCACCTGTAGGTTCTGTCCCCAGAAGAGGCTCATAGCAGCTCCCTTCACCTTCCTGGTCCGTGGGTCAGAATAAGTGGCCTGTTGAGCAACTCTATGGATTAAAGGGCTGAGCATCTGATGGGGGTTTTGCACCTGGTTTCTTTGGGCCTCAGCAAGCAAGACTTGGGATGTGGGCCTCTCAGCTGAAATGGGTTATGTGGTAGGAAGTGGTTGTCTCCTGAAGCTGCTGGAGGACCTGAGTGAATTTGCACTTTCTCACCTTTAGCAGTAACAATGGTTAGAAAGAAAATGCCTTGGAAAATGCCTTGGCACATCCATGCTGAAACATGTCTGTGTGTCCCCATGTTCTTCATTTGATCAGTTCTGCTAACAAAGCCAGGGTTAATCATTGAGAAAGTAGCTACTTGTATCTGCCTAGAAGGTATAAATTGGTCCTAAGTTGGGAATGCCCAACATGGGTGTTTTGAAAACAAGTCTTATGCTCAGAACTCTTCAACATCTTCATAAATGATCTAGAGAAGGGCATAGAAAGGGAACTCATGAAATTTGCAAATTGACACCAAGCTGGGGGAATTGCTAACACTTTGGAAGCTAGTCTCAAGACTTAGAAGGATCTTGACAGATTTGAAAACTGGATCATCTCCAACAAGATGAGTGTTTAGTGGTGAAAAAAGTCCGGTCCTGCACTTAGGCAGGAAAAAACAAATGCACAGATACAGAATGGGTGGCACCTGGCTCAACAGCAGTAATTGTGTGAGGGATCTTGGAGTCCTAGTGGGCAATCATTTAAATATGAGCCAGCAGTGCGCTGCAGTGCCAAAAAAGCCAATAGTCCTAGGCTGCATCAACAAGATCATGTGAATTGATACTACCACTTTACACTGTACCAATAAGACCACACTTGGAATATTGCATTCAGTTTTGGTCACCATGATATAAAGAAAAAGATGCTCAGGTGTTAGAAAGTCTGCAGAAAAGAGCAACAAAGATGAACATAGAACATAAAACAATAGGGTTGGAAGGGACCTTGGAGGTTTTCTAGTCCAGCCCCCAGCTCAAGAAGGAGACCTTAATAAGGGGTCTGTAGCAGTGGTGAAATCCACTTACCTTTGCCACCGGTTCAGCGCCTCTTCTGCACATGCACAGATGGTAAAAAAACAGGACGAAATGACATCCCGGCGGGTGGGCAGAGCCTTCCGCCACCGGCGCTACCGGTTTGGCAAGCCAGATAGAACTGTGGGGGGGGGGGGATTCACCGCTGCGCTGCAGGCTAAATAGTATGATGAGTGGTTGAGGAAGCTAGGTTTATATCTAGCCTATCAAAGAGAAGGATTAGGAGGGACATGATAACTGTCTCCCAGTACTTGAGGAGCTGTCACAGAGCAGGGGGGGATTGTCTTATTCTCCAAAGCACCAGAGATAATGCTTGGAAACTTATCAAAGAGAGAGCCATCCTAGAAATAAGGGGAAATTTCCTGACAGAACAATTAATCAAGGGAACAGCTTGCCTCTCAAAGTTGTGGGTGCACCATCACTAAAGGTTTTCAAAAATAGACTGGACAAACATTTGATTGGGATGTGTGAGGTCTTCTGCCTTGAGCAGAAGGTTGAACTAGAAGACCTCCAAGATACCTTCTAGCCCTGGGCTGTCAAACTCCCGGCCCACACCCAGTTTAGTGAAGGGGGAAAAAGTCCTGATATGTCACATGACACCACCATGACAAGGTGAGTTTGATACCCCTGTTCTAGCCTATGATTCTAAAGGCTCGAAGACAAGGGAATTTGCTTAAATTGAGGGTGTGAGAGAGAGATGTGGCTTCAGAGTAAGACATGAAGAACTTTCAACTGTAGGTTTCTAAAAATCTATTAAAATAAATGTCTAGAGACAGCTCTTTAACTCATTAGTCCAGAGGGAGCAAAAGAGATAGGTCCCAATGAGGGTCTTCGCGTATTTAGCTCGGGAATAACAGAATAACAGAGTTAAAAGGGACTTTGGAGGTCTTCTAGTCCAACCCCCTGCTCAGGCAGGAAAACTGAGGATGCCAAAATCTGAGTGGAGGGCCTGGGAAATAACAGAATAACACTTAGAAGGGACCTTAGAGGGGATCCTATACCATTTCAGAGAAATGGCTATCTAGTCTTTTCTTAAAAACCTCCAGTGATGGAGCCCCCAGAATTTCTGGAGGCAAGCTGTTCCACTGGTTAATTGTTCTCACTGTCAGGAAGTTTCTCTTTAGTTTTAGGTTGCTTCTCTCTCTGTTCAGTTTCCATCCATTGCTTCTTGTTTTGCCTTCTGCTGCTTTGGAAAATACTTTGGAAAATATCCCCCATCCCCTTTGTGGCAGCCCTTCAAAAGTGTGTTTTGTGACCTGCCTATCACATTCTTGGGCAACGCATGTGGGCCATTTCCTCCTTCCAGTGGTCCATGAAAGTACATGTTTCTGGTATGTCTCCCCCATCGCCTCTGCTGGCACTGATCCAGGGAGAACGCTTGGATTCTTCACCACGAGACAGGTGGCCTGAACCTCTCCCTTTCTGAAGATGTATCGGTTACCCTGCCAAACTGGCCGGAGAATGGAGAGCTCCCGGTTGGCCTTTGCCACATATACCCATCCGTCGTCCAGGGCAGAACCAGTTCCTCAGTCGGAGTTGCATTTCCTTGGACTACAGAAATGGCCCCCATCTGTTCCTTAAGCACAGCCTCACAAGAAGGGTTTTTGTTTGCACAGCCAGTCAATAAGCTTGTTCCACTAGAAGGTTAACCTTTGGAGGCTGGAGCTCACTTTTGGTGCAGGGCCAGACAGGAACAGCAAGTGTGGTGAAATTAAGTAATGTGACTGGGTAGAATTTCCTCTGTTTTCCAGCTCTCCTGACCTTCATCTGGCTGGGATGAACTTCTGCTTGGTCATCTCTCTGCTGACTCTTCAGCCTTGGGAACGGAGGGGCTGTATTCAACCCCAAGGCCTTCCTTTGGCTGAAACCCAGGATATTCTGTTCCGGAACATACTGAGCAGGCAGCAAAGAGTCCACTTCTGACTAGGTTTTTGAATCAAGAGATGGAGGTCAAGTGCAAACAGTAGCTGCCCACAGAACAAGGGGAAACGATACCGTCCCTTGCCCTGCTAAGTCAGCAAAAGAGGGTGGGGATCTGGGTGCCCAGTGGCTCCACTGAGGGTTTTCCAGGCCGCGTGCCTCTTGTTCTCCCAACATACCGCCTATGTGTGATTGTCCCATTTTTCTGTGGTCACCCCAGCCAGCACTCTCCCCAGTGTGCTTGTGGGAGGTCAGAGCACAACTGATGCTTGTCTGGTTTAGAGAGCAAGAGAACCATGGCTTCAGGGGGCTCTCGGTAGTCAATTAAATCTGCCCCCCACTTTTAAATAAGTTTCTTTTTCTTGGCAAACTTGTTCATTTATGTATAACATGTTTTCAGCTTTCCTTTTTTTTCTGTAAGCTCCTCATGAGATTATTTTGGTCCCAGGGCTCCAAGAAAAGCAATAACGTAGGTACAACACAAAGTTGTTTGAGGGTTAGGATTTACTTACTAAATAGGTAAATGCTTAACAGGGTGCAAATGGGCTCCTCTACACAAATGCGGCTATATTGTGTGGCAAAGAATTCTTGCTGTGAAGGAGCCTGATGTCTCCTCATTTGGGTTGCTTCTGGCCACAGCTTTGCAAGGGGGCTAGGAGGAGCTTCGGAGAGCATCCCCTGCCCCACGCACGGAAGCAGGGAAGTGCAGCTCATCCTGGGCACTTGGCCGGATCTTCTCTCCTTCCCTCAGGGTTGCCTCCTTGCCGTGCTCCAGGTGGGTCTGTAGGAGCACCTCCCTCCTTCTCCTTGGGGCCCTCCAGAGGGGGACTGAGGCCCCCAAAGCTCCTCCCATCCCACATTAGGGCAACTGGCAGCTGACCTAGCACAGGGCGGGGGGGTTGTGTCTCTTTCACGCAGGAGGAAGCTCATCTGGGCACAGGAACTTGAGATATGGTGCTTCCGGATGGCAACACCCGCCCACCCCCTCGCCGACCACTTGGCTCCTGTTGGCAGACGTGGGGCACAGCCTCTTGCTACATCCTGCTTTCCTCTTCTCAACATCTTGGGGCTGTTGGGGGGAGGAGGTCCAGTCTGAGCCCCATGCTTTCCTTTGGTCTCCAGGTGCTGTGCAGTTGACGTGTGGCCCAGAGCCGACTTCCATGGTTCCTCAGGCCGACTGAGCCCTTGCTGGGCAGTGCGAGGGCCTCTCTGGCTGCCCAGCTTGGTTTTCCCTCCTGGCTTTCATGGATCGGAGGCTGTCCTTGCTGCTTTTCTGGTGGGCGATGACAGTGCCCCTGGCCGTTCTGGTCAGTGAGGGACTCAGCCAGCACATCTACACCAATACCTGGGCTGTCCTGGTGCCCGCCGGCCTGCAGGAAGCCGAACGGATGGCCAGGAAGCATGGCTTCCTCAACTTGGGACCGGTAAGTTACTTCCCAACAGCATTTGCTCCTATTTAAGCCATTACGCAAACAAAGAAGTTTGCACATTGTGCTGCTGGCGGGAGGGGCTGCAGGGCTGTTGCCCTTTCTGCTGCGGGGCCTCATGGGGGTGAATTCCCTGGGATGTTTGGATACCAGAGGAGCAGCATGAGATCCCAGTGTGTAGTTCCTGACACCCGGAACAATGGAGGAGTCTTCTCCCTGGCACTTGCTGGTCCCGTTTTCCTTGGTGCTCTCTGAGCTTGACTCTTTGCTTGTGGACGTTTGGTTACCTGGCGAGATCACATCTTCAGTGCTTGTGAACCGAGCACACTGAAGTGAACTGTGATATGATCTAATTGGGTAGCAAAATATCTGCGAGGAACAGCCAAGCACAGGGAGCATCAAGGACCCCCAAGGTCAACCTTGAGCTACAGAGATTCTCTTGGATTGGAACACTTTCCTTGGCCTGGCAGCATTTGCTTTCATGGCTGAATTCCTGGCTATGCTGAATTCTCCTTTGGGAAGCAGGTCTCAGCTTCTCTGGAGCTGGCTATTGGGCTGCCTGTCTGCCTTTGCCAGTCACAAGTGCCTGGGAAGTGGGAAGTGGCAGTGCTCTTCCTTAGGACAGGACATTTGATGTTGGCTGTTTGGAAATAGCTGTTTTGATGACTGATCAGCTATGGCTGTTGTAGCAGGCTGCCCAGGCTTGATGCGGGATCAAAGCCCTTGGCAAGCCAGATGGCCAGTGATGTCAGTTCCCATCCAGTCTTCTGGCACTGAGGCCAGCAATGGCTCATGCATCACTGTTGTGTGAGGAGTAGGCTCAGAGTTTACTGGAGGCTTTTACAAAGACTGTTTCATGCAACTTCACAAGTCTCTTTAAAGACAGACATATGTTATGACAAGTTTTTGAGGATCACTGTGCTCCTTGTTCGAAGTACGGAGTGTTTCTTGGGAAAGGTGTGTTATGTAAAGCATGAGTTACACTATTCATAAATGGAGGAGAGGAGAGAACAGCAGAAGGAGAGCTGAGAGAATTGCTGGATGTGGTTGGGGAGTGAGCTGATGTGTAAGAAGCCTTGGACTCATTTTAATGCAGAACAAATGGGGTTAAATTACCTACCTGAGTGGTAGCTTTTTTCTTGTGATGAAATCTCTCTCTCTCTCTCTCTCTCTCTCTCTCTGTTTACGATTCTCCTCAAACTTTGCGTTAGCAATGGTTTCATTGGGTTAAGATTAGGCAGGAATGAAATATTGTTCATGAAAGTTACATTTTCTTCATACTGAGCCTTAGGGCTACCTTAGCTTTTCCCTTTCAAACCCTCCCATTCCATTTTTAAGGATTGGAAGTTTAAAATAATGGATAAAGCAGGGGTGAAATCTAAATTTTTTCCCTACCGGGTTCTGTGGGCATGGCTTGGTGGGGGGTGTCCTGTGACTGAGTGGGCGTGGCCAATTCGATGTCATTCACAGCCACGCCCACTCAGTCACAAGACCCCCTCCCACCAAGCCATGTCCACAGAACCCGGTAGGAAAATTTTTAAAATTTCTATTCTGCCGCGTGTCCTTACGTTTCTCCCATGGCTCCGCCCGCCCACCCCATTCCCCGGAGTTGGGGAATGTACCATTCCCCGACTCCTACTGCTCACCTTTCTCCCGCGGCTGGCTGTCAGGGAAGGCAAGCGGCTGAAAGTTACCGGAGTTGCTCACTCTCCTTCTTGAATGAGCCGCTCTGGTCCACGCGCTGGCTGCGCAAGCGCACACCCAACCTGCCGCTGATGACTGAATTAAATAAACGGTGTGCGCTTGCGCAGCTGGCGCATGGACCAGAGTGGCTCATTCAAGAAGGAGAGTGAGCGACTCCGGTAACTTTCGGCCGCTTGCCTTCCCTGACAGCCAGCCGCGGGAGAAAGGTGAGCAGTAGGATACACCACATGGCAAAGGGCGAGCAGGCAGCGGCTCAATGGCAAGGCCGGAGTCGGGGAATGGTGCATTCCCCGACTCTGTGGAATGAGGCAGGTGGGTGGGTGGGCGGAGCCTCCAACTGCCATTGCTACCGGTTCTTCGAACCACCGGCCATCATCACTACCTACTCGCCCAAGCTGGTCTGAACTGGGAACATTTCACCCCTGGGATAAAGGTACTGAATGTCACTAACTCACACACTTCTAAGGCACTCTAAACATTACAGATATTTTCAAGAGAATTGCTGAATGGAAGCCCACAAGGTACAGTCTTTGCTCTCAACAGTTTGAAGAAAGACTTATTAGATTTGCAGATGGCAGAAAGGTGGAAGAACGACCGATGCCTCAGATGAACCACAGAACAAAAGAAGAGAATGTCTGTAGCTCAAAATTGCTACAGAGGAAAAACTGAATGTTGAAACAAAATCTAGGCAGGCTTAAGCAGTTGGTAGAAATGGAAAGGATAGACTTTAATGGGGAAATAATCAAGTGTTGTATCTGAGTAGGAAAACAAGGCGCAAATATAGGACATAGGAGACCTGGTTTGGCAGCCATCCACAACAAAGGAACCTGGCATCTTGATCCATCAGGGCGATGGAGCTGCTGAAGAAGCTGGGCTTGCCTGAAAGAGCGTGGAGGGCGTAATGAGCCAGCTCACAGGAAGCAACGGTTTTACTCCACTTTGTCCCAGTCAGAATTGGGAAATTCTGAAAAATAAGATAATTAGGACCCAAATACAAATGACATCAAAGAGAAAGAAAAATGGGAGAAATGCAAAGCCCAGTGTGGTTGCATAAAGAATTCTCAGACAAAAAACAACAACAAAAAGGAGAAGTTTAAAAAATGGAAAGGGAGGGCCTTTTAGGAAAAGCAGAATATTAGAGAATAACCATAATCTGTAAGGATGAAGTCAGGAGGGATTAGATTCAGAATTAGCTGAGGCTCTCAATGAGTACCAAAAATAACCAAAAATGGTTTTGAGAAAGTGGTTGATCTGCAGGTTGGAGAAGTAAGTGAGATGGTGACAGGTAAAAGCCAAAAACTTGAATTGCTTAATTCCTATTTTGCATCTGTCTTTTTGCAAAAGGAAAAAATGGCCCAATTTGTCAAAAGGTGCAAGGATGAAGACCAAACCCAGGTCAAAATAGGCAGCAAGTGATAGGAGAAGTCCTTGCTGCTTTGAGGCAATTTAAATCTCTGTGATGGATTGTAGCCCAAGATGATAAACTGGTAGATGGGAACTCAAAACCACAGAGAACCTGTGAACTGAAGAAGATTTCAAGAAGACTTATTCCCTTGTTTTTAAAAAGGGGGAAAAGTGGGCCCAAGATGTCAGCTTGAGATCCATATCTGGGTAAATCCTAGAGAGGATTATAATTGAGCCAAGGGTTACAGGCACTTGCAAAGGAACACGGTGATTACCAGAAGCCCATGTGGGTTACTTAAAAATAGGCTGTGTCAGTCAATCTGTCTTTCTGGACAAAGTGACTAGATCATCAGAGCAAGGAAAAGCTGTGATGTTGTATACTTAGACGTCAATAAAGTATCTGACCAGATTGGCAATAACCTCCTTTTTGATGAAATGGAATTAAGTAGGATGGGCAGCCCCAATGCCAGATGATGGACCTGTTGAACATCTGTGTCTAACCGGTAGCCCTGAGTGTCCACAAGGAGGGAACTCCAGGGGTATCTGGAGATTCTGTCCCGGGTTCAGAGTTGTCATGAATGACTTGGATGATGGGGCAGAAGGCATGCTCAGCAAATTGCAGAAGACACAAAGCTGGGGATGGTGTTAGATGTTTATGATCTTATGGACTGGGGGGGGGGAGCAGTTGCCATGGAAAAGATGAGAGGGAAGGAGGGGGGTTGCATTGCTGCCCACAGGTAATTCTACCTCATATTCCTTTGCTCCCCATTCTCTGCCAGTCATAGATGTGGCACTTTTTCTCTCTGGCATTTGATCAGGGCAAGATTAATGCAGAGATGCCTCAGGGCTCCTTGTGGTTTTAGCTCCTGGTGATTCCCTAGCCCTCTGGCTGCAGCCATCCCCTTGGGTCTATGGGGAAAGGGGCTGGCAAGGAGAGGGTGCATGGGGGGGTGGGGAGGGGACGGAGCTGGCTTGTAAGGAGAGCTTGTAGTGGCTGCCTGGAAAGCAGAGCTCCTTCCTGGCACTTTGGCAGCCCCCCCACTGCTGCGAAAGGCTGGGAAGTCCCGCTTCATCTGAGGCCCTTTTCCACCCAGGGAACTGAGGCACCTCTTCTTTTGGTGTGGGAAGGTGGCCTTTTCCGATCCCTGTTGAAACTTGATACGCCCCTTGTCTGCTCAGCAGAGCGTTTCATCAGCACAGTGCAAACAGACCTTCTGCCCATGACATGGGTTCATGAATGGGGCCAAGTCTTTTGAAACATGTTGCGGTCAATAGAAGAAACTGACCCAGTTACAAATTACCCAGTTACAAAGATAGCCCCAAAGAGGCCATTTTTTTCCAGAGGCAACTGGACTTTCTGGATTCCAGAAAGTCCAGTTGTCTCTTGAAAAAAAACACCTTTGGGACAACCATGACCTGGATAACTCAGAATCTCTATAGACTGTTACAAGATAGTATTCCATCTAGTCAGCATCTGCAAAGGGTCCCAGGATTATGGCCACATCTGGTCTCACGGCAGGCTTGTGCTGGAGCAGGAGGTGGGCTAAGAAAGCTGCTCTGTGCATTGCCTGCAGACACCTGTGTCCATTCTAACCTTGTGGGTGCTGCTGCAGGAGACACTGGGCATGGAAGTCGTGTGAGGATTGTCACCTGGGGACCTGCTGTGTCAGGTCTGATGCCTGTAGTGGAAAGTTTCTTTCTCCTTCATCAGCTGCCCACTGCTGACACTGGGGATCCGGAATCAGGGGTGCAATTTTCTTTCAAGCTCCTAGTTTTGTGGTAGCAGGACCTCTTGGGTGGAGCAGCCTCCTGGTAGAGAGCCAAAGAGATGATCTTGGCAAAAAGTGGTACAGATGACAGTTGCAAAACCTTCTTTAAGCTTGGGAAAGAGAGACAATGGGAGAAAGAAGCTGCCTGGTTCACTTGAGTATGAGAGAGAGGGACGGAAAAACTCAGAGTCTGTCAAGATTTTGTTACTGAAGCCCATAACAAGGGAGTTCTAGCCACAAGGGGCAGCTGCCCTGCCCTCTCCCCAGGGCTGAGACTCCTTTCCAGCTGCCTTGGGGCTCTGGGTGAGGGAGGAGAGCACTTTCCCTGGATTGCATTGCCAATGCTTCTCTGCCTGGCTCCCCTCACCATCAGGAGCGCTGCACTGCAAATGGAAGGAGGAACTCTCCCCCAAAGGGGGCTGGGAAGTTCCATTCCAGCTTCCATTTGAAGTGGCCTACTCAGCATCCCAGGTTTCCCCCAAGGAGATGGGAAGCAACCATGGATTAACTTGGTTCTGTCTTCATCAAGGGCATGCTGTAGGGCATTTGGGCTAGAAGGGATATCCTCCAACTCTGATAGCTGAAAAACAACTTGGGAACAATTTGGTGCCCTCCACAGAACTCCTGCATCTTTGCTGTCTGTTTCTTCATTTTGCACCCTCTCCACTCATCCCCCTTTAGTTCAGGAAGGCCAAACTGGCTCTCTCCACTGGCTCAGAAGCTGTCCTGCCCCGAACAAGAATAGAGCTTGACCTTTGGGGTGACTGGGTACTATCATATTCCTATTCATGAGTCTTAACTTTCTCCCAAGGCTCAACAGCTTTCAGTCTCTCATTGTGGAACATGGTTTCTAACCCCTTGTCGTTTTTACAGGTAATGTACGCGTAATGCTTCTGCGCATGCCTCCCGCCACCACCACTACCGGTTCACCCAATCCAGAGCGAACTGGTAGCAACCCACCACTAGTGTACGGACTTATGACCGTTCATTTAGTGACTGCTTGAAATTCTAAAGGCACTAAAAAAAGTGACTTATGACCGGTCTCTGCAAGTATGACCACCACAGTATTCCTGCAGTCACATGATCACGTGTGACCGTCCGAACCGTTTTCTGACAAAGACCATGGGAAGCCAGCAAGGAAGGTCCCAAGCTGCAACCACACAATCTCTTGCTTTTCTTTGGAGACCATCTTATAAATCTCTACCCTGCCTTCAATATTAGCATATCCAAAAAATAACTATAAAAATCTCTATATAGCATATCTTAAGTAGGTATGCCTCTTAAATCATATATCTTCTGTTTCCAACATAGGCCTCCTCTTCCTATCCTTCATCCTGAATCTCCAGACTGTCACTGATCATATATTCCCTTCCATTCTGTTTCTGTTAAACCTTAATCAAAGTCAAGTACATTTCTGGTGCAAAAATCAATAATCTTATACTGTATATAATTCAAGCCTCTTGAAATTAAAAGCCATACCTTCCCATTTAACCTGGGAAAATAATATTTGCCTGTGTATGGAGATTCTCAGCCATCCAGGTCATGGTTGTCCCAAAGGTGCTTTTTCAAGATGCAAGTGGACTTTCTGGGGTTTTTTTTTAAGACGTTTCACTTCTTATCCAAAAAGCTTCTTCAGCTTTGGGATAGTTTTTACCTGGTTTACTTCTGGTAAAACAAAATGCTCCTCTCTTTTTTTTTCAAATTTCAAGTAGAGATTTCTTTTAAAGCACTTATATTCAGGTTTTCAGGTTTTAATCTTATATCAGAATGATCATAAAAAACTTGTTCCTGTATTTTTTCTTTTGATAAAACTAGTGTCACTTAAAAAATAAAGATGTTTTTTACAGGATATTCTTGTTCCCTACCTATCTTATCACAATCATCCAATTTATTATCTAGTAAAAAGTTCCTTCTCTAGGAATATGGCATGCTACAGCTTTTTTCCAGCCCCCTCTGGTGGCCGAAGAAAATAATTGCAGTTTGGGGTTTCTCCTTTGGAGAGAGCAAACTCTTCCGATTACATTTGTTGAGGGATCCAAACCAATCAGTACAGAGCTAATCAAAAACAAAGCAACCTTCCTATGGAAAACTATGCTTAGGGGGGGAAAAAAAACAATTTCAGAGGCACCAAAGTTTCCCAAATCAATTTTCCCTCTTCACTCAGGGAGCTTTGGCTGTCCCATCTCCTTTCGCATCCTCTTCTTACTCGGCTGGGTTGGGTCACTCAGTCATGTGTCCCTTGGGCAGACAACCAGCTGTTGGAATGGGCCCCTTGTGGTTTAAGGGGGTGACTTTGTCCTTCCTGTAGTTCAGTGCAGTTCTTCAGGACACTTCACACCAAGGGGCCACGTCCCTTCCTGCCAAGCAGCCCCTCTCCCCCACAGCAGGAGGAAGATGGCAGGCCACCCCGTTGCCCTTTAGGGGGATTGTGTTATTTCAGCTCTTGAGAGGCAGAATTTGGGGAAGCCGGTTTCAAGGCATCTTGGGACCTCCACTTGGCTGGGCATCTTGGGAAGGTGAGGAAGGAGCAGAGGAAGCTGCCAGGGCAGGAGAGAAAGCATCTTCCTGCTCGTGGGGAACCGTTGCCTCCTGATGCCCCCACAAAGTGTTTGCAGCTTTCCTCTGCTGTGGGCGCTGGCCACCCAGTCTGGGACCAGCTCTCGAATGAACCTGATCTGCTTGGCTTCTCTTCCCAGATCATCGGGGACTATTACCACTTCTACCACCGGGCTGTGGCCAAGCGGTCCCTCTCGCCACACTGGTCCTGGCACAGCTCCTTGTCCAGAGAGCCGCAGGTATGAATTCTGATCCTGCAGAATTGGCCCCAGAGTGAGGGGGCTGGCCTGGAGGGCTGCACCATGAATCTTGCCCTACCAAGCTCCAGTGCTGCTCCTGGTGCCTCACAAGCCACTGGCACCTTTTCTTGCATGCCTGCCTGTCAGTTGTCCAGGCAGGGATGGAATGGCTGCTCTCCCAGTTTTTGATCTGCCAAGGGTTTTGGCTGATGCCCGCTGGGGAGAAGACCGTGGGACCTGGCAGGAGGAGCTGGAGATGCTTAGTTGAATCATTTCCTCTGGCTTCTCTTCCGCTCCACAGTGGATGAAGCAGGTGAAGCCGAGAGATACAAGGGCTTCAGAACTCAAGCCTGAGCAATGCTGGGCTTCCTTTGCCTGGGAAGGAAGACCCAGGCAAAGCCCCCTCCCTGCTGAGCAGAGTCCACAGGGCCCATGTGCTGAGGAGGGTGGCTTTGTTTCCTGAGTGGAGCAGGGCAGTGGGAGATGGTTTCCAAGGTCATCCTGGGAGAGAAATGAGAAAAGGGAAGCCCATCAAAGGAGAACCTTTCTTCGCACCACTATGCAAAGGCTGGATCCATGCAGCCTCCACTGGGTCTGCTTAGCTGTAAAGAGAGTTTTTCTTCTTCATCTTTTTGGAAAAGGGCCCCTGGCCATGAGCAGAGGGGGGGCCAACAGGGACCTTCTGTGGCCCTCTTGGCAGGGCTGGGCTGGCGGTCCTTGTGGGGTCAGATGGGAGGATTGCTCTATGCTAGTAGAGCTCCAGAGTGGCGTCTTTTGACATAAATGCTTGCCCAGGGTTGGTCTGGGACCTGTGGGAGCCTGGCAGCGTGCCCATGCACATCTCTCCCCAGGTGGTCTGGCTGGAGCAGCAAGTGGCCAAGCGCCGGACCAAGCGGGATGCCTTCATAGAGCCAACAGATCCGAAGTTCCCCCAGCAGTGGTACCTGGTAGGTGAGGCGACTGCCTTGGGGGGGACCGGACTCCTCCTGTCTGAAGGCCAGATCGGGGCAGACCAGGGGGAGTGGGATAGTGCTTAATCGCTCCACCCAGTGGGATGGAGGCTGTGAAATGTTTCCCAATGGCTGTGTCCCAAGAGCGTCCCCTCTGGTTCCCAGCGCAGTCCAAGGGCAGCCAGGGGAAGTGGCAGAGAGGGCCTTGCAGGATAGCAGCACAGAGAAGGGGCGTGTGTGTGTGGGGTGGGGAGGGAACCAAGAGGGCTAGCAGGGCATTTGGATGAATGTTTGAAAAAGGAGGAAGGGCCTGTGAGGTTGAGCTTGGGTGGGGAGTTTCTCTCCTCTTTGGCTTGAGATTCTATTTTGAGGACAATTAGTTGGGGGAATTCACCCTCAGATGGGCTCTCAAGGCCCCTGTGCTCCAACACCTTGGCTCTTGGGGTGAGTGTCTGCTGCTCCCCTTTTTTGCAGTCCAACAGCAACCAGAGAGACCTGAATGTGCAGGAGGCCTGGCAGCAGGGCTACACTGGACGTGGGGTGGTGGTCTCTATCTTGGACGATGGCATTGAGAAGAACCACCCAGATTTGGAGGCCAATTATGTAAGTGGAGGAGAGGATGGGCACGTTGGCTCTCCTGGGAGGGGAGGGCAAAGGCCTTTTGGGGCCCCGGCTGTCTCTGGCTGGAGTGCCCACACTTCCAAGTCTCCCTGACCCCAGCCAAGTTATCGGGGACAGGTCTATCTCTCAGTGGCCAGCAGGCCGGTCTCCAGGATGACCGGTGTCCTGGTCTCCTCCAAAGGATCAGAGACTAAGGCCCCAGAGGGGGTCTGTCTTTCCCTAGGACCCCGCAGCCAGCTTTGACGTGAATGACCAAGACCCGGACCCTCAGCCTCGCTACACGCAAACAAATGACAACAGGTTAGGAGGGAGGCAGGCAACTGGGCACATGGCCTGGGATGGGACACTGGGGTGAGGGGCTTCCACAGAAGAGCCCTCCGCCCCTTGGGAGGGTTACACTTGTCCCAGATCTGCACTCTTGCAGAGTCAGGCTGTCCAGAAGAAGGGGTCGTTTGTTCGTTTATGGCAGGCGTGGCCTCAGCCTTTTCTGTCTGTTGCAGGCATGGCACTCGGTGTGCGGGCGAAGTGGCTGCGGTGGCCAACAATGGCATCTGTGGTGTGGGCGTGGCCTACAATGCCAAGATTGGAGGTGAGGGGTGTCCTTGGGCTCTGCCCACTCTTGGGCTGGGCCAGCTGGTCAGAGGCAGCCAAAGCAGTGGCCATCTTTGTTTCAGGTGTCCGCATGCTGGATGGGGAGGTGACGGATGCCGTGGAAGCTCGCTCCCTGGGCCTGAACCCCGACCACATCCACATCTACAGTGCCAGCTGGGGCCCGGAGGACGACGGCAAGACCGTGGATGGCCCCGCCCACCTGGCTGAAGAGGCCTTCCACCGGGGCGTGAGTCAGGTGAGTGGGTGAGCTGGGTGGGCAGCTGGGGGCCAATCAGGGCAGACCTCGAGGCCCCCAGCCGCTTCACTCAACCCTTTTCTCAGGGCCGCAACGGACTAGGCTCCATCTTTGTCTGGGCCTCGGGGAATGGCGGTCGCGATCGTGACAGTTGCAACTGCGATGGCTACACCAACAGCATCTACACCCTCTCCATCAGCAGCACCACCCAGTATGGCAATGTGCCCTGGTACAGTGAGGCCTGCTCCTCCACCCTGGCCACCACCTATAGCAGCGGCAGCCAGAACGAGAAGCAGATTGTGAGTCCCACCTGTTCACGGAGTGCACCTTCCCCCCAAGTCCCCCCATGCTCCAAAGATGCCTGGACGGTGTGGAACCCAAACCCAGGATTGCTGGCTATGGGTGCCATGATTGCTGGATAGCAATTGCTGGCTACGGGGGCCAAGTTTGGTTCAGGATTTTGAGGGGAAGAGAGAAAGATGAATGCCCTGAAGAGAGTGTGGAAAGGATCTGGTGGTGCAAATGGCTTGGAGGGACAAGTGGGGGGGGGGCAAAGAAGAAGGGCAGGGCAGTGTTGGGGGCCTGCACAGGAGTAGGGATGAGAGAGGAGAGGAGAGATGCTGCAAGCAGCAAGGACAGTCTGAGGCTCTGAGTTTGTTCCTTGCACGTCAGGGGAGGGGGGGAAGTGGGGGTGGTAAGTTGGAAGTTGCACCTGGTCACCTGCAGGCATCCATGGCGGAGGGGAGCCAACTGCATTTCCCTGTGGCTCAGGTTACATCAAAGCAAAAAACCCCCGTTATCCTTTCAGTTGATACTGAAACACCTCAAAAGTTTGGGGAGTTAAGGCCTCTCCTCCTTGTTTGTGGCTCCATCTGGCAATTCCTGGGGTTTAGGAGAAGGCTTCTCTCTGCTCAAAAGAGAGCAGAAAGTAATGGGGCTCTCGTGGGGGTTTCTACCCAGCTAGAGATCCCAGTGGGGGCCCAGCCAAGGTCACTGCGCACAGTTGGATGCGCGTCTCCCGGGAGGCCAATTCAAAGAGGGGCTGTAGGTGACCCCCACGGCCACTGAATGGGGTCCATTTCCTCTCAAAGGTGCCTGGGGGGGATGCTGAGCTGGCAGGCGAATGGCAGCCGGATAAGCTGTGAGTGTGCTGGCTTTCCTCTCTCCGTCCCCCAGGTGACAACTGACCTGTGGCAGAAATGTACCGAGTCACATACTGGCACGTCCGCCTCAGCACCCCTGGCTGCTGGGATCATTGCCCTCGCTCTGGAAGCCAAGTAAGGGGCGAGGGAGGTGGCAGCGCCATGCAGGCCGGGCCTACTGGAGCTGCCGTTGCCGACTCACCTGCCTTTTCTCTGCAGCAAGAACCTGACCTGGCGAGACATGCAGCATCTGGTTGTGCGGACATCCAAACCTGGCCACCTCAACACGAATGACTGGGCCACCAATGGGGTGGGACGCAAAGGTAGCCCTGGGGACGGAGCAGAAGGCTGTGGCAGATGCCATCCCTGCCTTGCTCAGCCCTGACTCAGCCCCTCTTTCCGCAGTCAGCCATTCCTACGGCTACGGACTGCTGGATGCAGGTGCCATGGTGGCCCTGGCCAAGAACTGGACCTCGGTGGGGCCTCAGCGGAAGTGCATCATCGACATCCTCCCAGAGCCAAAGTGGGTGTCTGGGGCGGCGGGGGGGGGGGGGGGGGGGGGGGGGTGGCGCGGCTTGGAAATGTCTGTCTTCTCCCTCCTGGGTGGGGGCTCAGCTTTTTGAATATGGAGTCCTTGACTTACAACCATATGTTTAGTGACCATTTTCAAGACTAAACCACATGTTACATTTGGGAAGCTGTCATGCTTCTCACACTTAGAAGCACAACAGCCTCCCTCCCCCACACAAATCAGAATTCGGGGCCTTGATAATCAATCTGCATTCATGATGGTCCCCTGTGGCCATTTGTGACTTTCCCAGCTGGCTTCCAACAAGCAAAATCAATGAGGGAAGCTGGATCTGCTTAACGAGTGCCTGATTTACTTAATGACCATCTGATTTATTTAATAATTGGATCTTAACAACCCTGGCAAAGAAGGACATAAAATTGGGTGCAACTCATTTAATGATCATTTTGCTTAGCATCATAAATTCTGGTCTGAAATGCCATAAAATGAGGACTACCTGTACAGGAACTTGCTTGGGAGGATGAGTAGCATCTGCCCTCTCTTGGCACAGCCCCTGTGCCCCTTAGGCCCTATATTCTGAGGAATCGCACGGGACACTTCAGGGACCTTGGGGATCAAATCCACCTCCCCTTTTGTCTCCTTCACCAGGTCACCATGCACCTAGCAGCCAGTGCCAGCATTTTAGAGATAGGCCTGTCTACCTATATCCACTTCCAAAGGACACCCAGCTGCCCTGGCAGGATTGATGGATTGATTGATTTAGATTTTGGGGTTGCTAACTCCAGGGACACTCTGGATGTCTCACAATAGAAAAGTCATAATTCCAGCACAATAAATAAGTAAAAACTGCAATAAATAAGTAAAAAAAATAATAAATAAATAAAAACAATGCAATAAATAAGTAAAAAAAATAAGAGAACTAACCAAAAGGCTAGACAGCTAGTGTGTGTATCCAGTACCTCTAATGAGGGGGAGGGGAACATCCATCCCACCTCATGGGGGATGAGGCTCCATGGCTGCTGGCTGCCTTGCCCAAGGATCCTTGTGTCCTGCAGGGATATTGGCAAGTGTCTGGAGGTGCGGCAGAAGGTGGAGGCCTGCTGGGGAAAGACTAACTCCGTGGCTAGACTGGAGCATGTCCAAGCCAGGCTGACCCTCTCCTACAACCGCCGCGGAGACTTGGCTATTCACTTGGTCAGCCCAATGGGCACTCGTTCCACCCTCCTGGCTGCTAGGTAAGCTGGCTCCTGCCGCCTCCAGTCTGAAAGACCACTGAGCCTCTGCCTGGCCCTCCCTGTCATCTCTTTCTGCTTGGCCAGGCCTCGGGACTATTCGGCTGATGGCTTTAATGACTGGGCCTTCATGACGACGCATTCATGGGACGAAGACCCGGCTGGTGAATGGGTGCTGGAAATTGAAAACACAAGTGAAGCAAACAATTACGGTAATCTGCTTTATTCCTCAACGTTTTCTTTTGGGTGTTGATTGCCAGGAAGACTCTCTCCTGAGTGCTGATGGTGGCTTCAGCCTTGCCCCAGATGTTCTGCCACTCAAACTTCAAGTCTGTCCTCCGCTTCCACTGTGTTCGCCATAGCAATAGCAATAGCAATAGCACTTAGACTTCTGTACTGCTTCACTGTGTTTTACAGACCTCTCTAAGCAGTTTACAGAGTCAGCCTCTTGACCCCAACAATCTGGGTCCTCATTTTATCCACCTCGGAAGGATGGAAGGCTGACTCAACCTTGAGTTGGTGAGATTTGAACTGCCAAACTGCAACTAGCAGTCAGCTGAAGTAGCCTGCAGTGCTACACTCTAACCACTGCGCCACCTCGGCTTTTGGCAGCCATGGCAGCGTATTGGGAAGAATCGCTCTGCCATGTGACTCTTTCGTCCCAAATCTTGCTGCAAAAACTGGACTGCAATAATTTTGTTGCTGTTTTTACAGAACTAAGTGTGGAGAATGGAGGTGGGAGGCAAATTGCTCTCCTTCCCACTTGTCAATTCCCAAAGAAATAACAACCTGCAAAATGGGTTTCTGGCTTTTTTGTTTTTGGCTTGGGCAGTTTTTCCCCCATTCCCACAGCAGAACTCCCCTCAAAGGGCAAAGAAATTCAGCAACTTCTAGGAACATCTGTTAATGCTCTGGGAATGACAGTTGGGCTCAGCTGACGCCCCCCTTGCAGGACTTGTAAGATGTGGACTATTCTGTAAGTGCAAGTAGTCCTTGTTTAATTACCCTAATGGAGCCCAGAATTTCCACTGCTAAGTGAAGGCAAACCGTCCCTGACCGCACCACTGAGAAATGGCAGTTCTGGTGGTTCCAGGTGTGGCCTTCTAGTATCAACATCTGCCACCTTCCCCAGGTAGTCGCTACCGTCATTGTCTCTGCCTGGGCCCAGCGAGCTCCTTTGGCAGACGAGGCTCTGCCATCCTGATGTCCACATTGGTGTCCCGGCTGGTCTCTCCCGCAGCACCTGGATCCTGGGCCAGCAACAGAAGGAAGGAAATGTCAGCTAGGACAGCAGCAGCAGCAGAGTGCAGGGTGGCCAAAAGGGCAGAGATGGGCTGGAGAAGTGGGGAGGGGCTGTCATAAATGCAGGCCGGTTTGCAGTCACCCAGATTTTGATCCCAGGACCATGGGGTGCTGCAGCGGCCATAACTTTGAGAACTGGTAGTAACTATCATAGTAACTAAACGGTCAGTGAGTGAATGGTCATTAAGCAAAACACATTTTAAAAAATTTATGATTCAAAGGCCCCAAAGAATAGCCCAATTATTGAACAAATTGCAGCGACAAAGGCAATAATAAAGTGGCCCTCTTGAAGAGTTTGCATAGCTTTAGTTCTGCATGGGATAGGAGCCCGATCCACCTCCTCCAGCAGGAACTGGGTGGGAAGAAGGCCGTGCGGTGCGTTGGCTTCTCTGCCTGGCCTCTCCTTGGGTCCAGACTGGCAGGGAGGCTGCTCTGGGGGCTCATCCCCCTTTCCCTTCTGCTTTCCAGGCACCCTCACCAAGTTCGTTCTGGTTCTGTATGGGACAGGCCCCGACCTGCCTGACTTCTCCAATCAGTTTGAGAGCAGTGGCTGCAAAACCCTGGTCACCAACCAGGCCTGCGTGGGTAAGTTCTAAGGGAAAGCTGCCCATGGGATGCTTGGAAGAGTGTCCTACTCTCGGGGATGGCCCCTGTCCTGAACCTGAGCTTGTGCTCACTGTTCGCTAGCAGAAGGGTAGATCTGGGCCTGCCCTGCCCCTCTTTGCCTGCTGGACAGGTTGGACTTAATGGTTGCCTCCTTCGCCCCCCCCCCCCCCCCGACTCCCAAGTGGAGGGTGGAGGAGTCCCACAGTGACAGCTCTCCTTTCTCTGCTCTAACCTTGGTTCCTCCGTTTGGGCCCACTGCTCTCTGCTGCTCTATCCATGTCCCCTTGAGGTCCTTGTGGCCATCTGAGTGGAAAGGTGGAAGCACTCCTGCCAGAGCTGTGGGTAACCCAGTCCTCCACCTTGCCACAGGAAGGAGGGCTGCTTGCCTGGTGCAGTTTCTGTGTCTTGGCTCTGGGGAGGGGAGCTCCCACTCCCGCTGCCCTTGGAGTTTTGGACCACCAGGTGGCTCTCTCAGTCTGGCCTCTGCTTCCAGTTTCCAGGTGGCTCTTTCACTCCATCTTCTTGTGGACGCGTCACATTCTCCCTTTTACTTTATTCAAGTGGCTTCCATATCATCTTTCTGTTCAATTAGTTTTGAGATTCATCCATCTGCTAATATTTTTTTCATACAGGATTTTCCCTTTCACTTCCCATAGTCATCCTACATTTATTATTGTCTCTTTTACTTCTTTTCTTCCGTGATTGTTTTACTTTTGACACTACCAAATAACAGCACATCCCACATTTGAAATATTCTTACCAACCTTCCAACATTCCCTATTTATCTCAGCCTTTCAAAGCAGGCATTCTGTTTTCGTTCTTTGCCGAGTACCCTCAGGGATTAAAATATGTGGCAAAAAATGAGGTTTTTTCTAAGCAGTTACTCAGCTCCCATCGATGTCATCCATTTGGATTCCCCCCAAATCACTTTCCTTCAGACATTTGTGGAGCAAATGTCTTCCTTTATAGCCATTGATGGAAGATTTGTAGCTCAGTGCTGAACTGTGGGTCTCTTGATGCTCTCTGAGCTTGGTTGTTTTCTTGCAGACATTTCATTATCTAACTAGGTAAATATCATCAGGGCTAGAAGGGGTTGGGGTTGTTGGAGAGGAGGAGGTGGAGGCGGTCCTTGGTTGTTTTCTTGCAGGCATTTCATTACCCAACTAGGTAAATATCATCAGGGCTAGGAGGGAGTGGTATTTGTGGACGGGAGGAGGAGGGGGAGAGGAAGAAGAGGAGGAGGAAGAGAAGGAGGAAAACTATGGGGTCCTTGGTGGTCTCTGAGCTTGATTGCTTTGTTGCAGATGGTAATATCAGGGCTAGGAGGAGTGGGGTTTGTGGAGTGGAGGAAGAGGAGGAGGATTATGATGATGTGGGTGGGTGTCCTTGGTGCTCTCTTGCAGACATTTCATTACCAAACTTCCTGGAGCTTAACATCATCAACCTCTGAATTTCTACTTCCTACAAACTCCCAAAAAAATCCAGAAGATACCAGTTCATACTTCCTGATGCTCCATTTGAGCCCTTCATTCACAATGAAACCTAAACCTTCCTTTCCTTGCATATCTTCCTCATCTCCATGACCTTGGTTGGTTTCCTCTCTCTTTGATTCACAAACACACCCAATCCTTTCCCTTTCCCTTCCACATTCATTCTTTTTTTTTTTTTTTAGAAATGCAACACTTTGCAGAGAAATACCTGGTCCTGTGGAGTAAAAGTCATTTCGTCAATTGCAAAGTTTAGCATTTGCTTAGTTAATTCAGGATTTATCCCATTGCAAAAGTAATAACGATTGTGACAACTTTTCCAGTTGTATCAATTATTCCATGGGTACTTTGAAAAGCTCAGAGCGGTTTATGTGGCTGTCAGATCATCTCCCATCTGGCAATCCTACATCAGTAGCCGCAGGTATAGTACTGCGAGGGTTGTGACTTTTGTCCCTCTGCTGGGTGACTGGAAGCCTTCTGGCCCACTCTGTTACCTGCTTATCACCTTAGCTAAGCAGGTGGTTTAATGACTCTGCAGCTGAGATCTTCTGACGGAGACTGCATTCCTGGCAGCTGAGGGCCATTTTGCTGAGAGCCACAAAATGTGAACAAACTAAGTAGTGGCATGAAGACTGACTCAGGCTGCCCAGAGAAGTGGTTTCTCACCTACGGAGCAGAGGAGGAGGGCTGGCCAGTCATGCCCTGCATCCTCTCTCCTTCGGCTTCTCTTGCAGTGTGTGAAGAAGGCTTCTACCTCCACCAGAAGACCTGTCTCAAGACTTGTCCGCCTGGCTTTGCTCCGGCCCTGGGACCGCCCCCTCTGGAGAACAGCCTCGACCCCCACCTGCTGCAGCCCCGACTCTGTGTGCCCTGCCATCCGTCCTGTGCCACCTGCCTGGGCCCCTCGGCCACCCAATGCTTGTCCTGCCCGGCTCATGCCCACTACAACAGCCAGGAGCACATCTGCTCCCATCAGACGCAGAGCAGCAGGGCCTCCCCTGCTGTGGGGGGAGAGGGCGTGGCTCCTGCCAGTCCCCCTTCCAACTTGCCACTCCTGGTGGCAGGCCTGAGCTGTGCCTTCATCGTTCTCGTGTTTGTCACCATCTTCCTGGTGCTGCAGCTGCGGTCAGGGCCGTGCCTGCGTGGCTACAAGGTCTACTCGCTGGAGAGTGGAAACCTCATTGCCTACAAAGGGCTGCCATCCATTCTGTGGCAGGAGGGGCTGGAGGAGGAGGAGGAGGAGGAGGAGGAGGCGGCCGAGGGCGAGAGGACTGCCTTCATCAGAGACCAAAGACTTTGATGAGTCTGCAGCCCCAGGTGAAGCAGGCCGGACCCACCCCCGGGGCTCCTGCTCTCTTCTGGGGCTGAGCCCCTGTGTCTTATGGGCCTGCTGCTGCTGCTGCTGCTGGAGTCATTCTCTTCTGGTTTTAATTCACCAAAGTTTTTTTAAAAACTAAACCAGTCTGTGTCCTATTATGGTGGAAAGGAAGCGGGGCGAGGGGGGGGCATATCTCCCTAGATGGGCGAGGGCTGAGGCAACAGGAGGGCTTCCAGCTCCCTCCTGCCTTGGCCACCAGACATCGCCTCCCCTCCTCTCTTCCCACATGGCCAGGAGGGCCCCCTTTCTGCCCGACTGGGCGGGGCAGTCAGGAAGAGGATCCATGAGGACGCCGCCTTGCTTAGTGCAGATGGGCTGCCCAGCCCCCTCACCCCCCCCCCACCCCCGCGAGCAGGTTCTCTGGACCTTGGAGGGGCGGCCAGCCGGCTGGCTCGCTCACCAGCGCCCCCTGGCGGCTGCTCCCTGGATCTGCTGAGCGTTGCTGGAGCTTCCACCTTTCCTACGTGCCTTGTTGCCCCCCCCCCCTCGGATGACAATCTCTGGCTGCGGTCCTCTGGAGCTGCCTGGTGGAGGTTGTTTGGTTGGGGCTGCCCAGGACACTTTTTCTATAACTTTTTTGGTGCACAAATGATTTATTGTAATTTGAAGAAGGAGCCAATTCCTGGGGCCAGTTTTTTTAATTTAATGGATGTGGATATAACTCTAGAGAGATTAAAGTTTATTAAATGTTGGAACTATGCAAACCTGGTTTCTCCTGCTGTATTCTCTCGCCAGAAGCCTCAGACAACCACAAAGCATTAATCAAGAACTATGATACACCCCCTGCTTACTTCAAGCCTAGGAATACCTGACTCTTCCATCCAGCCACTCTGTTCTTTTCTCTCCTGGCAAAACTGAGGAAGGCCCACCAGGCCTCCTGGGGGACAGGCAGACTTTCACCAGGCTTTATTTTGCTGGGTCTTCAAATTCCAAATAAAATTCCAAATAAAAGCAGATAAAATTCAAGGGTAGAAGCTAATTGTGGAATGAAAATAATATAAATTTATATTAAGGGCATGGATCCAGCAGATTGCTGCAACTTGGAGATGTTCAATAGGATTGTCCCATCCCATCCCATCCCAAGCGCACTGCTCAGTCCCCGGCATCTACTTGGAGAGGATTCAGAGTAACTGAAACTTCAGAGAAAGTAGTAAGATAAAGTTTAACAGAGTTGGAACTGACCTTGCAGGTCATTTAGTCCAACCTCCTGCCCAAGCAGGAGACCCTACACAATATCTGACAAATGGCAGTCCAATCTCTTCTTGAAAACTTTTGAAGGCATGTTGTTCCATTGGTTGATTGTTCTGTCAGAAAATTTCTCCTTATTTCTAAGTTGAATTGATCAGTTGATTCAATTCCATTATTCCTTGTCTGGCCTTCCGGTGCTTTGGAAAATAGCTTGACCCCTTCCTCTCTGTGGCAGCCCCTCAAATATTGGAACACTGCTATCCCGTCTCCCCTGGTCCTTCTCTTCACTTAGACTAGCCATGCAGTTTCTGCAACTGTTCTTCATACGTTTTAGTCTCCAGTCCCTAATCATCCTGGTTGTTCTCTGCACTTTTTCTAGTGTCTCAGCATCTCTTTTATAGGCTGGTGACCAAAACTGGATGCAGTGTTCTAGGTGTGGTCTTACTAAGGCTTTATAGAGTGGTATTAGTCCCTCCCTTGATCTTGATTGTATCCCTCTGTTAATGCAATTTAGGATTGTGTTCGCCTTTTTGGCTGCCGCTGCACACTGCTGGCTCATATTTAATTGGTTGTCCACTAAGACTCCAAGATCCCTCTCGCAGTCACTGCTATTCAGCCTGGTTTCACTCAGTCTATATGTGTACTTTTGGCTTTTCTTGCCTAAGTGTAGGATTTTACTTTTTTCTACATTGAATTTCATTTTGTTAGATAGGGCCCAGTGTTCAAGTATTTCCTGGGGGCTGTAAAGAGAATTGGGGGAATCGTTTTAACCTGAGGAGGGCTATCAATCACAGAATGTTGGATGTCCAGAATTACTGGATGTCCTTGAACATGAGAACTGAATGGCACAGAAGAGGGTCAGCACTTGTTTTCAGCCATCCAGAGAACAGTATAAAAATCAGACTTAAGTTATAGAGAGGAAGATTACAGAAAGAGCAGTTTGAGAGGAGAAGCGGGGGGGGGGGCGGCAATGGCATAAGGTGGAAGTGTGGAGGTCCCAATTGGAGCCAGTGGTGAAGGCTATAGGCTAAAAACTCAGCCTCAGGCATGGAAGCTGGCTGGGTGACCCTGGGCCATTCCCCCTCTCAGCCCACAATCCCCAGGCTGGTTGTTGTGGGGAAAATAGGAGGGGGAAGAAGTATTGTATGTGTTTGCCACCTTGAGTTACTTATAAAAATAGAAAAGGCGAGATAAAAATAAAAACTACCCTTTCTGGAGGCCTCTGGATCTTTATAGCAGGCTCCTATCTTTTGTTTAAGTACCTTGGGGCCCCTCATCTGGCACCCAGCCTAATTACCATTGTGTGGCCTAATATGTGTATGTGTGTGAGAGAGAGACAGACATACACATACACACACTGTACTGTCACTCGACTTGCCTTTCTGGCTATTGTGAGGTGAAATGGCAAAATAGTTGACTACAGAGCTCAGCCTTCTAAGCCCCACCTGGGAGATGATTAAACTTTTGCAGGAGAAAAGGTCCTTTAGCATACAGAGGAAAAATGTATAATGCAGCCCCACTTTTTGTTAAACTTTAATTCAAATATTGAACCCACAAGGAGATAATTACAGGGCTGCCCAGATCATGATAATACAGGTAGTCCTCAACCTACAACTTTTCATTAGTGACTTCCTTAAGCAAGTGATCCTTTGCTTCAGTTTCCTGGTTCTCCTGTTTTCTGGAGATTCCCAGTAGCTGTGGAGACACACAGGAAGCTGGTTCCTCCACAGGCTCCTCTGCCTTCCTCTCATTCACAAAGGAGCCTTTTTTTTCCCCTTCCAGGCTATATGACAGAGAGCCCTTCTCCTTCTGGGGATGTGGATTGTGCAGCCTGGCATGCGGGCTCCATTCCTAACAAACTAATCGCTCAGAGAAGTAGTGGACTCCCCCAGATGACCCTCTATTATGGGTGCCTTCATTTGGACTTGGGGCACTTTCCACATCAAACCTTTGAATTAGATCTGGAACTTAAGTGGCAGCTGGAATCTGGGTGGACTGACTGAAAGCCACCAGGCTCAACCCAGCAGATGCTAACCCACCTTCTGTGTACTTGGTTGTCTCTCCTGGCTGGAGGCCTCGCCAGAGATGGAAGGGCAGTGGGGCTGGGCAGGAGGGGCCACTTCCCAGGGAGGGGCTTGGAAAGGAGGGGCAGAGGCTGGTGAAGAGAAAGCTCTGTCAGTGGGAAGGAGGGAGAGGAAGAATCCCAACCTGGATTGCCTCGGTCTTTATGCAGCTATTGTTTTTTATTTTTATTTATTTTAGAAAAATTATATTGCCACCTGCTTGCCATGGCGACTCAAGGCGGCTTACATAGATGGAAATAAAGTAACAAGCAGTTTAAGCAGTTGCCAACTTTGTGGCAGTTAAATCCATTGCACATTATTTGTTCTTAGTTCTTTTTAAGCCCCAGTTCTATTTTTGTGGAGGCAGAAAATAATTTGTAATGGTGACGGCTCTACAGTCCTGTGGCCAAGCAAATCCCCTCTCCCTTCTGATCTGGCTGGGGGGGGGGGAAGGAAGGGGCTGACCATGTCATACTAGAATTCAACATAACACAAACACAAGGAATAGAACACAACGGTGCCAGAGTCCTAGATTTTAAAAGAGCTGATTTTAACAAACTCAAGAGAGAATTGGGGAAAGATTCCTTGGATTAAAATCCTAAAGGGGAAAACAAGAATCTTGGGAAACTCTGAAAAATATGATCATAAAAGCCCAGTCCAGCACAATACCACTGAAAAAGAAAAATAAGAAATACAAGAAGAAATCAGCATAGCTGCACAAAGATATCTCTGACAAACTGAAAGACAAAAAGGACAAAAAAGACAAAAACATGGAAAGAAGGACATATAACTAAGGCAGAATAGCAACAGATAGTCAGAATCTGCAACGATGAAGTCAGGAAAGCAAAGGCTCAGAATGATCAAAGACTTGCAACAAAAGTCAAAGATGATTTTTAAAAAAAGTTTGTTCCAACATATAAATAACAAGAAAAAAAATAAAGGAAACAGTTGGTCCACTAAAGAGAAAAGATGGCAAGGACGTAACTGGCAGCAGAGAGAAAGCAGGACTGCTTAACTCATTCTTTGCATTGGTCTTCATGCAAAAAGAAACTATATTCCAACCTACCAAAAACATAACTATAAAAGACAGACTAGAAATAAAAGTTAAAATAAGAAAACAAAACCGGTAAGAGAATCATTAAAAGCCATGGTGGCACAGTGGTGAGAGTGCAGTACTGCAGGCTATTTCTGCTGACTACCGGCTGACTGCAATTTGGCAGATCGAATCTCACCAGGCTCAAGGTTGACTCAGCGTTCCATCCTTCTGAGGTTGGTAAAATGAGGACCCAGATGGTTGGGGGCAATATGCTGACTCTGTAAATTGCTTAGAATCGCAAAGCACTGTAAAGCGGAATATAAGTCTAAGTGCTATTGCTAAGAGAACACCTCTCTGATCTTGATGAATACACACCGGGATTTGACGGATTACATCCCAGAGTTCTAAAGGAGCTGGCAGATGTCATCTCAGAACCATTGTACCACATCTTTCAAAAATCCTGGAGCTACCGGGGAACTACTAGAGGACTGGAAAAGAGCTGATGTGGTTCCCATCTTCAAAAAAGGAAAAAAAAACAGACCCAGGAAACTAGGCCAATCAGCCTAACTGTCAGCGTTCCAAAAGAACCCCACTCCAATTAAAACCTCTAAGACAGTCATTTTCTCAAAGTTCCCATTTATTAGAGTAAGTGTACTGGCACATCTGGGAAAACCTGAATCTGAGATTTCCGGGTTTTTCCTCAGTAAATCAAAACCCCAAATTCAGCCCCTGCACCCATCAGTCCGTCACATGGCCCAATCACCATCCCTCCCAATTTGAGCCACCACTTCAACCACTCCTCCTCCAGACGCAGGAACACCATGACCTTGACCGAAAAGAAGAAAGCTAGTATGTCTAACTACATTCCCTCTACTTTCCCAAGCACAAGAAGGTGGCAGCGTGGAAGCTTCCGGTGTTAATATGGCTTCCAAAGCTGACACTAACATTAATACCTGAGAAGATACTAGAAAAGATAATAAAAAAACAGATCTGCCAACATCTAGAAACAAGTAATAACTACAAGTCAGCACAGGTTTGTTAAAAAGAGATCATGCCAAAATAAACTTATTTCATTCTTCAACGTAATGACTAAATTAGTAGACCAGCAAAATACTGTGGACATAATATACTTAGACTTCAGCAAGGCATTCAACAGAGTAGACCACAACCTACTTCTTGGTAAGCTAGGAAAAAATGGGATAAATAGCATCACCATCAGATGGATTTGTAGCTTGCTGACAAACCGTACTCAATGAGTAGTCCATACATCTACATGCAAGGAAGGAAGCAGTGGGGTACTACAATTCCGTCTACAATTCCACAAGTACAGGGGTGCTTCACTCCCACTCTGGAATACGGAGCGAGGCTCCATTCCCTGCCGTTGCCCTTACCTTCTCAGGCCAGGAGAGGAGTGACTGGGAGGAGAGGGCAAGGGGCGGGGCCAGCCAGTGGTGGGTTCAGCCTACAGCCACAGCAGGGGAGCTTCATTTATCTGGGAACCTGAAATGACTCTTGATTTAAATCATATGGTAAAAAGCACCTAAAGAAGAAAGAACAACATCAGCAAAAAAAAAAACCCCACCAACCTTTGCCTGTTTTTGGAAATGGTTCAAAAGGGAACAAACACACACACGAGAGAGAGAGAGAGAGAGAGAGAGAGAGAGAGAGAGAGAGGCAGAGGGAGAGGGAGAAAGTGGAGAGAGAAAGAGAGAGTGAGGGAGAAAGATGAGAGACAGGGAGAAAGAAAGAGATGAGACAGATGAGAGACGGAGAAAGAGGGAGAAAAAGACGGAGAAAGATGAGAGAGAGGGAGAAAGAGAAACAGATGAGAGAAAGATGGAAGAGAGGGAGGGAGAAAAAAGAGATGAGATGAGATGAGAGAAAGACAGGGAGAAAGAAAGATGAGAGAGAGACAGGGAGGGAGAGAAAGAGAAGGAGAAAGAGATGGGAGAGGGAGAGAGATGAGAGAGGGGGGGAGAAAGAGACACAGAATAGAAGAAAAGAGGAACTCACCAAACTTGCGGATGATACTAAATTGGCAGGAATAGCCAACACTCAGATGATAGGCTCAAGATCCAGATGGATCTTGACAGACTTGAACAGTGGGCCCTATCTAACAAAATGAAATTCAATGTAAAGAAAAGTAATCTTACACTTAGGCAACAAAAACCAAAAGTACATATATAGACTGGGTGAAACTAGGCTTAATGGCAGTAACTGTGAGCAGGATCTTGGAGTTTTAGTGGACAACCAATTAAATATGAGCCAGCAGTGTGCAGCGGCAATCAAAAAAGCCAACACAATCCTAAATTGCATTAACAGAGGGATACAATCAAGATCAAGTAAGGTACCAATACCACTCTATAAAGTAAAGTAAAGACCACACCTAGAGTACTGCATCCAGTTTTGGTCACCACACTATAAAAAAGATGTTGAGACCCTAGAAAAAGTTCAGAGAAGAGCAACCAGGATGACTAGGGGACTGGAGACTAAAACATGAAAAACGTTGCAGGAACTCGGCATGGCTAGTCTAGTGAAGGATAGACAGGGGAGACAGGATAGCAGTGTTCCAATATTTGAGGGGCAGCCACAGAAAAGAAGGGGTCAAGCTATTTTCCAACGCACCGGAAGGCCAGACAAGGAATCAAGGAAGGAAACTGAGCAAGGAGAGATTGAACCTAGAAATAAGGAGGAATTCTGACAGTGAGAGCAAACAACCAGTAGAACAGAAATTGCCTTCAGAAGTTGTGGGAGCTTCATCACTGGAGGCTTTCAAGAAGAGACTGGACTGCCATCTGTCAGAAATGGTGTAGGGTCTCCTGCTTGGAGGGGGCGGGATTGGACAAGATTACCGACAAGGTCCATTCCAACTCTGTTAATCTGTTAAAGAGGACCCTGGAAGGAGGCCGACTGCAGATCCGAATATCCGGATCATTTTTTCATCCATGAGAGAGTTCTGCTTCTGGATCCTTGGCTCACCCGCCGAGCCCACAATTCCTGCACGTTTGGAAAACGAGGAGGGACCACCTGTCGAATGGCTGCCGACTGAATACCTGAACGTAGACAGATGGTTCCCCCGCCCGGCAATTCTCAGGGACGCAGAGCCCCACTCGCGCAGGGGTCTCCACCACCGGCCGCTCCAAGGTGGCGGACCCTCCCTCCGCTCGCCAGCGCTCGGGGCACCTGTGGGCCGGGACGCCAAGCGGCCTCGCCAGCCAGCCAGGACCGGGGCTCCTTGAAGGCCCGCTCTTCTGCCCTTGGCGCAGGAAGAGGCATCTCGCAATGCTGGGCGGCCGCCGGGAGGCTTCCTCTTCCTCTTTTGCCCTTCGGACTCGGCTTCGGCGGCTGGCGGCTCGAAGGCAGGGGCTTCGCGGGCGGCGATGGGCTTCGGGCTGGCGCTCGGCTGCCCCGAGGGCCACAGCGCCCTGCTGCAGCTGCAGGAGTCGGAGGTGCGCCTGCTGGAGGGGCTGCGCAAGTGGATGGGGCAGCGGGCCAAGAGCGACCGGGAGTACGCCGCTCTGCTGCACCAGATGCACAGCCTGGCCGGCAAGCAGGAAGGCGGCCGCCAGCCCCGTCTCGGCGGCCAGATCGGCCAGGTAGGCAGCCCCGGGCTACCTTTTGCACTTCTCCGCAAGCTTTTCGGCTTGCCTCGGCCCGCGCGACTCCGGGCCGGCGCTCCCGCGGGCAGAGGAGCCTCGGCGCATCCGAAATGCATACGGAAGGGCGCGGCTCTCGGGTGGCGCAAGAGAGCGGCAGCCGGGTTGCCTTTTGCGCTTCTCCGTCGGGGCTGGGTTTGTCCCGGGTCCTTCCCTTTGCAGGGCCGTTTCAGAGAGACCAGGCAACGTTGCCCCTTCTAAAAGAGCCGGTGGCTCCAGCGTGGAGTCAGCTTGATTGACGATCAAAATGCATTTTAAAAATCCACAGCTGGAGATGACCAAACTGCCGGAGAAGAGAGAGGCCGCTGGTTTTGGAGGCCTTTCTGATCATGGCACATTTCCCTCGGCCATCAGGGGCTCATTTAAAGGGAGAATGGGCAGGCCCTCCTTCAGCTGTCTTGCCTTCTGCTTGATGCAAACTGGTTGTAAAGTGAGGTGCCCTTTCTCAGAAAGATCTTTGCCCAACCAGCCTCTAGAGAGCATCCCCCTCTAGCCTCTCCAGTGGAAATAGGCCATACTTTGCAGGCTTCCGGTGGTCTTCTTTGTTGCAGTGCTGGTGGTCCCTGGTGACCCAGACGGAGGCGCTGAGCCAAGCTCTAGAACGCCACGCGGAAGCCCTGCTGGCTGGACCCCTGAACACGTTGGCCCTGCTCATCCAAGACAAGCAGCAGCTGCACCGATGCTATGGTGAACAGTGGCAACAAATGAACCAGGATTTCATCCGGGTACAGCCATCTAGCTGAGTCCTCCTGGCACCAACAGGATCCCAGGGAAAGGGCCAGGAAGTGTTGGGGGGGATCCACCAGGGCTGCCAGCCCTTCTGAGCTTCCTTCTTGCCTTCTCCAGACCACCCAACAAGAGCCCGAGCGCCTGAGAGCCCAGTATCGCAGCCACATCCGTGAGTGTGCACAGGCAAAGCGCAAATACCAGGAGGCCAGCAAAGGTGCGTCCTTTGCCAGGGGCAGAATGGGAGCAAAGCCTTTCGTACCCTACATCCTGCTTTCTGTGAACAGCCAACCAGGTGTCTCCAAAGGAGCAATCCAAAGGAGTCCTAGTCTTGATGTCTCTTGGGACAGAGACCGTGCCAGATGGTAGGAGTGTTTGTCAAGGACCAGACAGGATGGGGCAACTTGAACTCTCTGTGATGCCACTAGGCATTGTTTTGCAGGGCTTCCCTGGTGTTGCTAGACAGGGAGAGACTTAGCCTGTGGCCCCTGCTCAGTAGGTTCTGCAGGACTCCACATTCTCTTCATTACATGGAGGTGGAATGAATTATGTTACCCCCTCAGTCCAGAATCAGGTTACATCTCTGTCCTAGCCAGATGGAAGGCTGCAAAATCCTGTCCTGGTGCTTGGAGACCAGGCATAGGTTGAACCATGGCAAGACCTCATAAACTCTGGTTTCAAGAATTTTCTGGCTACAGTGATTTAGCATCTTAATTTTCAATTAAGTGTCACTTCTCCAGCTCTACCTGATGTGTCATTTTGGTGCCTTCTTTGATTCTTGACTCCTGCCCATCAAGCAGGTGGTTGAGAAAGCCTTTCCACAAACCCATTTTAGAGGCCCTTCTCACATCACTCTGGTCCAAGTTTAGATTACTGCAATATGCACTAAATGGAGCTACCCTTGAAGGCTACTCAGAAGCTACAGCTGGTCCAGAATGTGGCTAAATAAGTGTCTTCTCTGCCCATTTAACTCAGCTAGTTACAGCTACTCTGCAAGTTGTGCTTATTATTGCTGGGCTTCTGGCTGCTTTCAACCAGCCATCCATCAGTCAAAAAGTCCTCTCTGGCTTAGGGCCCAACTGCTGCAGGATTGTTTTTGTCCTGATCAGCAAGATCTGGATAAATTAGTGTATTTTAGTTAAAGGAGTGAAGAGTTTACCTTGATTAATTGGATGTTGGACATGAATAAGAATGGCATACTAAAGTTCTTCAATAATAATTCATAATCAATGAATAAACATTTTTAAAAACACATGATCCAGAAGATACAACATACTTGCATACATACATACATGCAGAGAAAAAAACTTATCCATGTCTGATGGATGGATCCCTAAGATCTGTAACTGTTAACTGCTTAGTTAGGGTTATTTTGTTCCTTTGCTTATGCTGAGTTGTGTTTGTTCTTTAGAGCCCATTTCCTCAGAATTTTTAGCAGGACTCTGCTGTCTGCCAAGGTCCCATCCTGGGTCTTGCTACCCCAGAGACATTGAAAAATCCTTTGCAGGGGGACGGAACTGCAAGAGCCCACTGATTTGAATCAGGGCATGATCAAATCCTACCTTTCACTTCTGTGGCTCTCTCCTTAGGCAAGGAACGTGAGAAGGCCAAGGACAGGTATGTCCGCAGCCTCTGGAAGCTCTACTCCCTGCACAACCAGTACGTGCTGGCCCTGCGAGCTGCGGAGGTGCAGCACAGCCTTCACTATAAGCAGATCCTGCCTGGCCTCCTCCAGTCCCTGCATGGCCTTTTGCAGGAGACAGCCCAGATCACGTGAGAGCAGCAGCTGAATCCAGATGGGCTTGGGCTGGGGGGGATTCAGGCTGGATTGCTTGGTTCGCTTCAGATGAAACAAAACTAGGTTGCAGGAAGAGAGGGGTAGAGTGGGCACTGTTGGGGTTCAGTTAGCAAAGCCCTTTTTTCTTACCTCATATCTTAATTCCTTTGGCTTAGTATTTCATACTTGTCTGCGCTCTGCATCCAATCCTGCTGACTTTAAAGAGGGAACCACATGTGCATGTGTGAATGCTGTTCTTTCTATCTATCCTCTTGTGTTTGTATCAACAGGAAGGCAACCCTGCAAGAATATGCCAGCATCACAAGCCTGGTACAGGAGGAGATGGTGGCTGTGCACCAAGCCATGGTCAGGGCCATCGACCGCATCCAGCCGGCCACCGACTATGAAGAGTTCCTCCCCACTTGCAGGTACTGTCTGCTGAGGGCTTGTCTCCTGGCTGACCAAAAGAGCGAGGGGCCGGTGGCTTTTCATTCTCAGATCTGGGGTCTCTCTTTCCAGGTGTGAGCAGCAGGAGATGCCAGGCATGGTGACCTTTGATAGGAGTTTGCTAGAGGAGGCTGAGACAGAGGTCTTGCAAGAGGGGCAGCTCCAGCTGAATGAACTCACCCTGGAAAGCCTGCAGCACACGTGTGTAGGGGGAGGTGCAGCCCTCTGGGAAGAAGGTGGCCCTTGGGTGGGGTGGTGATCCAGCCCACCTGCATGGGCACTGCTGAGGCCGGGGACTGTGGATGAAAGAAGAGACAGGCCTGTCCTGACTGGCCACCCTGAAGCTGAGCCTGGTCTCACAAAGCTCAGTGTGGGGCTGCCCTCTATGTGTGAGACAGGAGACCCCCTTCTCTGCTTTGCAGGCTGACCTCCCTGGAGGAGGAACTGATCAGTGCCACAGAGAGCACTGATGGCCATCGCCGGCGTGTCCAGATGCTGGAAACTGAAATCCAGAATGATAAGATGGAAGGAAACCCAGGAAAACGGTGAGCCTGTGCCACTGAAGCAGGAAGCGCCAGATCTTGCTGAATTGCCACTCTGGCTCCTTCACTGTTATCCAAATGGAAGAGTGCAGATCTTGAAGGGCCAGAAGAGGCCAAGGGAGAGCAGCAAGCTCACCTCTGCAAGGCATGCGTGCCATTAGGTTTCTCTTTCTCCCTTGGCGAGGTTGGGTGAAACACATCTTGCGGCTCTCCATCCAAGAGGCCAGAAGAGGACGCAACACTGCAACTCCCTGCCACTCATTCCCCAACTCCAAAGCCTTTCCCAGCTCTCCCTTTTCTCTGCCTGATGTCCCACAGCATCACTCCCTTGCCCCTATGATGGAGGACGTATGGGTTCAAGATGGTCCTTGGAGCAGGGGTGAAATGCTCTGACGTCTGCTACCGGTTCGCTTCGCTACCGGTTTGCTTCACACACGCATGTGTGGTGTGTGCCAAATGTGCACTTCATGCGTGGTGTGTGCCAAATGCGCACTTAATGCGCATGCGCACCGCAGGTGCTACCGTGCAGCACTGAAAAAGGAGGATTAAGAGGCCTTTTGTGAGTCTGCAAAAGTAAGTAGAACAGCGAGGGGGGAACAGCTGTGCCGCGCAATTTAGATTCGCTAGAAAGCAGGATTTCCTGCTTTCTAGCAAATATAAATCGCGCAGCATAGCTATATCGGTTCACCCAAACCAATAGCATTTTTTTCTACCAATTCGGGTGAACTGGTCTGAACTGGTAGCATTTCACCCCTGCCTTGAAGGCTACTCACTCATTCCCACATTCTCTTCATGCAACGGTTGATCGAAGAGAAAAGCTCCTGCTTTGCACAGAGAAGCTTTGATTTTCCTCTTCTTAATTGCTGTCTGCAGGCCCACCTGGAAGCCACATGCTGGATGCTTTGTGCCAGAGGCCTCCTACCTCTTTGGAGGGTCAAGCGCTTCCTTGACCTGCCATAGATGTGCTACCCTTGGCAAAGCCTTCTTTCTCATGCATGCTGCCTTGGGTGCTCCGTCCAATGCACCTCTTTCTCTTCCGTAGCATCCTCCTTCTGGGAAGGCAGAAGTCCCTGCATGAAGCTTACCACCTTTTCCATCTTGCTCTGGGCACTCAAGAAAAACTCAAGGCCCAAAGGGATTTGCTGCAACAGAAGCTGGATGAGCTGGGACCCCTGGACCCCCCACCTGCCCCAGATCTGCAGGGTGACAGGCAATCAGTCTCTTCCGGGGTGGGTATAAGCAGTGCCCTGCCAAGTCAGAGCAAGACAAGGTGGTAGCAAAGCATGCCCATATGGCCCCAGGCTGCCCATTGTGCTGATCGGGGAGAAAGGAGGGGCCCAAGCAGGCTTAGTCCAGCCACTCCTTTTTCTCTGCCCTGCCCCCACCTCTTGGGTGGGCTGGATTTCAAGCCTTGGGGGGGCTGCTCTGTGGTGGTCTCTGATGTAGTGCTGAGCCCACACCAAGTTCATCCTCTGCCCTCCTTCTCTGGCAGGAGCAGGACGCTGAGCGAGAGTGGGGCCGAACGCCGCCAGCTTTGGAGGCCCTGAAGCATCACATTTCAGGCATTTTTCGTCCACGTGTCTCAGTGAGTGGCCATCCTCACTTGTTGCTTCTCACTGCCTCCCTGCCCAGCTGGATTTCCTGACCAGGCAAAGCCAAAAAAGTCCCATGTCCCAAACATCTGCTCTTAAAATATGCTAGATGAGGAATGTCTAAAGCTGGCATTTATTCAGAAGTAGCACAATGTTTCCTAGTTTTGTTTTGGGATAAAATAATTAAAAACATCTTACTGCCACCATCCCAAAATTGCAAACTTAACATTCTTAAAATAGTGTAAAGTGTGCAAGTGTATGGACAGGGTGCTCCACAAAAGGGGGTGGGGGGGAGCAGCTAAAAAAGCGAAACGAGGAGGAGGAGAGCGAAGAAGAACAAGAAGCAGAAGAGGCCACAGGTGAGATCAATGGGTCTGTAATTAAAAGGAGGATTTCAATCTGAGCAAAGGTGGAGAGTAGGTAGACGAATTCTGAACCCGCTGGCTTTTCATAAGGAACTGAAAGTGGCGTAATTGCAACAATGTCAGTTGGGCAAAACTGAGGGATCTACAGGCATTTCCTATGATCAGAAAAAAGAGGAAACCAGAAGAACTTCAACAGAGGGACAGTGAAGTTGAGCAATCTAAAGCCGAACCAGGCTCAGTTCCTCTCAGAGGAATTGGAGAGCCATGAAGAGGGGAGCCTCAAGAGCCATTTATTCATTCGAAAAGTGGGCATTTGGGCCAGCCTCTGAGGGTCACCAATTTGTCTATTGATAGAAATGCAAGAAGGGAATCTCTTCCCATCTATATTTTTTGCACTTTGGGTTTTCTAAGTATTGGCCTGGCCTCCTGACGTTGGGTCTCGAGTGCCTTTTGTTGCCACAATCATAGTGCACAATCTCTGCACACTTTTCCTCTGAAAGCTCCTAGACTCTCATTCCTCCTTAAAGGGCCTGTTCCCTCAATTCAGCTTTGCTCTCATCCCCAGCCCATAGAAATTGAATACATAAAATAATTGTGGATGTTTTGATTGTTTTTACATTTTTTATTGTTTTTACAGTTTTGGAATTGGTTTGGAACTGCTCAGAGTCATTGAGATAGACAACTATAAAAATTGAGCAAAGAATAAAGTAAAATCTAAAATATAGCTGTGGCCCCAGCACCAGCCCTTCCCGCCTCTTCTGGACAGAAGCCTTGTCTGTGCAGCTTCCCAGCTGGATCCTCTGGAACTGACAAGCTGTCATTTCCTGTTCCCCCCCCTCCCCCAGTCTTTTGTGGTGTTGCTGCTGAAGGGTCAGGAAACCAGGGAGGAGCAGCAGCCCCAAGAAGGTCAAGATAACTTATTTCAAGGGTGGCCTGGTCTATCTGCTGTTGCTCAAGGACAGGTAGAGCCCGTCTCCAAAGGGAAGGGCCCATCTAAAATTTAAATCTAAAATTTGTTACTGTGGGCATGGCTTGGTGGTGGTGGTGGGGGCGGAATGTGACTGAGTGGGCGTGGCCAACTTTGTTTTTTTTTACTTTTAAAAGCATTTTTTCTACAACCTCTTCAGCGGAAAAAATGCTTTTAAAAGTAAAAAAAAAGCCTCTGATGATCGTGCGGCTCAGCTGGGCATGGGAGCGGGGCGCAGGGATTTTTGCTACCGGTTCTCCGAACCACCCACCGCCATTGCTACCGAACTGGGAGCATTTCACCCCTGGAAGGGCACCCTCCACCCCAACCATGCCTAGCCCAGCTTGTCCTCTCTGCCTCTCTTGTGCTTCTCTGCTGGATTTCGAAGCGGATTTTGCCAGCCAGCCGAGAGCAAAGAGAGCAAAGCTGCTGCCTGGATGCAGCCTTGGGGTTCTTCTTCCCTCTTCTCAGTTCTGATCCTGGGGATCCTGATCCTGGGGATGAAGTTCCTGCCCCCACATGTGTGGGGTGCCATTGTGTTGTCTTTCACATTTACTTAGAAGTGATGTTGATTATGAGTGGTTAACTCATTAGTTAGCAAAGATTTTTATGAATAGTGAATGTATGACAGGAGGTGTTTCTCTGTTAACTATGTCATCTCCCTCTCTCGATCTCACACACACACACACACACACACACACACACAACCTGCTGATCAGATAGTCTTTAGTTGAGACTGGCAACTCCATTGCTAAGTGAGGTAGTCATAAACTGAAAAATCACGTGGCTGCTCTGATTTCCGATGATAGCTCTGGCAATGGTCGTTAAACAAATTGTATCTTAAGCATGGTATTATGTGACTGTGACTTGCAACTTCCTGCTGGCTTCCCCATTAACTTTGCTTTTCGAAAGCTGGCTGTGAAGGTTGCAATGTTGATCATGTGACTACAGGATGCTACAACCATTATTACTGCATGTCGGTTGCCAAATCCTGATTACATAGCTCCAGGCTCACTGCAATAGCACTGCAGCTTTGAGGATTGTTGGTAAGTCTCCTTGCCAACACTGCTGTAACTGGTCACTCAACGAGTGATCGCTAAATGAGAACTATCTGTACTGGATGATTGGTCAGCTTGTCCTGTTTCTCTTGCATTTCGTTCTCCTCTCCAAAGGCCAGTTGTGCTCTCCTTTTCCCCTCCTGTCTTCTCCAAGTTCTTCTTGTTTTCTTGTTTATATGAAAGGGATCTGCCTACCATCTCTTGGAACCGGAAGCGATTCTTCCCATGCAGGAAGATGAGCAAAGAAAGTGCCTTGAACTTCTGTCTCTTTCACAGCTGCCACCCTCTCTGCCGCAGCTCCCTGAGGTGCAGAAGCCCCTTGGGCAGCAGACCTGGTACCATGGCGCCATTCCCCGCGTGGAGGTACAGAAGCTTCTGCAGACCAGTGGTGACTTCTTGGTGCGTGAGAGCCAAGGCAAGCAGGAGTACGTCCTCTCGGTGCTGTGGGATGGGCAACCACGACACCTTATCCTGCAGGCTGCTGATGTGAGTGCTTGGGGGAACAGCAGGATAGCAGTGGGAGGCCCAGGCTCAGCACGCCTTGTGCAAACAAGTCATTGACCATGTTCCATTCATCTTTGCTCAAGTACTGGAGTAGAACAAGCCTTCTACTCCAGTACTGACTGACTTCTCTGGCCCTTTTTAAGAAAGACCTAGGGGCCTTGATTGAGTAGAACAGAGCCCCAAAGAATCCAGAATCTTGTGCATGAGATTGCCAGTGAACACAATAAAGCTGCGTTTCAGTGCTGCTCTTTGACATCAGAGCACCCATACAGAATTTGGCAGGTGGTGGGTCTGAAGGCTGATGCAGTGGATTGGAAAGGAGTCGAAAGCATGAAGTCATCTGCCTGGAAGCTCCCTGGGTTGGAGTTCTGGTCAAAGAAATTTGAGCCACTTGCTTGAACTCTCTGGTGTATTCTAGAAGAAAGCTGTTTTGTGCAAAGGACAGTGTTCTCTATTGTAAGGGCCTGTCTCAGCCCTTACAATAGGGCTCTTAGGAAAGCATGACTCTTGAAACAAATGGTATTTCAAAAAGAACTTTTACTGAGAGAAGTGATTGCAGAGAAATCAGGTGGAGTCTGAAGATTCCTGCACAAAGTGTTAAGCTAATGTCCCCTGTTCAACCCCCACCCAGTGCCCCATGTCCACCAGTAGCCAATACAAAGCCGCAAAAATGTTATGAGAACTCCGAGGCAGGATGGTGATAACAGGTTATCCTCTGGGTGCCGCAGCTACCAGGCTGGAACTGGCTGAGAGGGAATTCATCCTGATGGCCCATGCCTAATTCCCATGCGGTGACAGCAAAAGCGAAAGCATTCAAAACATTCAACCCTAAGAAGCATCCCTCCTCCCTTTCGGAATGGCAGTGTTCTGGCAGGAACCTGACACCTATTCCCTACATTCTGAATTTCAGCTGGATATGATCTTGGGTCAACTGTGTACTGTGACCTTGTATACATGTATTGATAGAACCCACAATTCTTGGCCCTCTTCAGGAAGGAAGTTAGGAGGAGGGAAATTCTTTGTAAGTGGAATAAAGTTCTAGTGTGGAATAATGTTCCAACCAGCTGGCTTGGAAGGTTGGTATGAGAATCTTATTCCTTTGAGGAAAATGTAGAAGAGGAAGCAACAGCATAGACGGGGAAGTGACTTTCCCCCAAAACTGTACTCCTTCAGAGTAATGGTGTGGTGCTCTTTTCCAGAATCTGTACCGCTTGGAGGGGGAGGCTTTCCCTACCATTCCACTGCTGGTTGACCATTTCCTGAAGTCCAGGCAGCCCATCACAAAGAAAAGTGGCATTGTGCTGGTCAAGCCCATCCCCAAGGTAGGAACCCAATGGTGGTGGTGGTGATGAGCTAGAGAGTGCTTGGGGGAAAATGATGGACTGTTCTTCCAACAGGACAAATGGGTGTTGGACCACGAAGACATTGTGCTGGGGCAGCGCATTGGGCAGGTGAGTGAGGTCTCTGGATGCCCCAGGGCTCTGTGTTCACTGTTGCACAAGTTCCCCCTACAGTTTTGTTGGCCTTTGTATTCTTTTCCTGTGAGTTCCTGATCCCAAGCCTTTAGGGATCGTTGTTTCTCTGGAAGTTCCTCCCCCCCACTTTACAAAGGAGCTGAAAGACCTTTTCGTGGATTAGGGGAAGGGCTTATTTAGCTGATAGTTCTGTATGGAGGCCTGTTTTAAATAATAATGAATATGATTTATTCTATTCCAGGGTATTGATTAAAATGTATGGCTGTGTTGGTTTAATGTTGTTTCATTGAATTGATTTTGAATTATTGTTTTATTTTTGCTGCAATCTTGTGTTTAGTGGTTGGTGGTTGGTCTTTCTGAAAGGTGAGTTGTGAAGGCATTTAACAGTTGTTCTTCAGAAGTTTAGGAACTTGCTAGTTCTGCCAGAATGCAGCAAATTTTGAGCCCACATAAAATAAAAAAACTTTTTTTAAAAAAAAATTTTTTGAGCCCACTTTTCCAGCCTTTGGCTACTTCTTGCCATGCCAAAGGAGGGGCTGGTGCTATGTGGCCTTGGCCTTTGTTCCACAGGGCAATTTTGGAGAGGTCTTCAGTGGATTCTTGCGTGGCAGTAATGCTCCAGTGGCTGTGAAATCCTGCCGTGAAACGCTTCCAAATGAGCTGAAGGCCCGGTTTCTGCAGGAGGCTGGGTACGAATGACTTTTTGTTAGCTAAGGCCTTCAGCCAATCACCACAGCACCGACATCAAGAACATGTTCAGGATCTCCCTTTCAATAGAAGTTGAGAGAACACACAGCTCCCTCACTGGCCATCCAGTGACCGGCTCTTTCTCACCTTATAGGCAGATTATGGAGAGTTTCCCGGAGGGAGGCATTCAGAAATTCTGCCTACTCTGGACTCTGTGTGATTCCCTGGCAATCCCCTGCCTTTGCCGTTTCATGGCATATCTGCGTTTGAGGCTAGGGGCTCCTCTTTTCTAAGCATCTGAGAGGAGGCAGCAGGACAGCAGGGGCCCCTGGGTCCAAAGGTGGTGGCTGTGAAGGCTTCAGAATTGTGCTTGCAAGTCTTCCTTAACTAGAGATATTGAAGGAAATTAGGATACAGAAATCTTGGCAACTAAATAAATTTCCTGTACCATCCAGTTTATCCCAATCCTTTTGCTAACCATTCGATACACAGAAGGCTGCTAGCAATTCTGATGAAGCATGTGCTGATATTTTGCATGTGCATTGCATATTTTGCAACTGCCATCCACTTTCCCAGGATCTGAGAAGCCCATTATGGACTGTCCCCTTCCAGCTGTGTCTTCTCCAACTCCCCCTACAGAATCCTGAAGCAGTATAGCCACCCCAATATTGTGCGGCTCATTGGAGTCTGTACTCAGAAGCAGCCAATCTACATTGTCATGGAGCTCGTAAAGGGTAAGTCTGGCCTTTTGCTCCACTTGTTTTCTTGAGGCTTGAATCCTGTATTCTGCCCTCCCAACATTTACAGGAAGAAATGATGTTGGCTTAAGAATGTTCTCTCTACCTACCTTGATAGCAGCTACTCCATGAATGCCCAGGTGCCCCTCCTCTTTTCTCCACTGCTCACCTGAATCCCCCTGGACCCCAGGGAGCTCCGCTGATGAAAGGCTAAACTAGTTTTCACGAATGGGGATGCTCCTGTCCCAGAGTGGCCACAGCCTCTGCCTTCTCCCTCCTCAGGGGGCGACTTCTTGACCTTCCTGCGCAACAAGAGGGCTCAGCTCACAGCCAAGGAGCTCCTAAAGATGATGGAGAATGCTGCTGCAGGGATGGAGTACCTGGCCAGCAAGCACTGCATTCACCGGTGAGTCTGCTCAGCCCAACCTGTGGCCAAGTCAGGAGGACCCTGTGGTAAGGTTAGCTGAGCTACCCCATTGCCTCTGTCTGGGGATGTCAACTGGCCCTTTCCAATCTGTTCCATGACCGAGGCTGCTGGTTGTTGCAGCTGAGCGAACTTGAACAAGTGAGTCACCCTGTACCCTGGTGAAAAAGCCAGGAGGCCCTCTTTTCTGTTTGAAGAAGACAGAGAATGGCAAGATGGCCATTTGCAGAGGCTGCTGGTACCTGACCACAACTGGACTTGAGCATGACCCAGGTGGTTCTGAGCAACCACCTGACTGGCGCCTGTGATTCTGCTTTCCAGAGATCTGGCAGCACGGAACTGTCTGGTGACGGAAAGTAACATTCTGAAAATCAGCGATTTTGGGATGTCACGGGAACAAGTGGATGGCATTTACTCCTCCACGAGTGGAATGAAACAAATCCCTGTGAAGTGGACAGCTCCAGAGGCTCTCAGTTACGGTAGTTTCTGGCCCTGCAAATGCCATAGTCCAGGCCTGCTGCAGAGCCTTGGCTGGGTGGTTTTCAGCTGCTGCCATGGATATTGAGCTTCTTGCAACCACCTTGTCTAATCCCTGACAGAAATCTCTCCTTGAAGATTATGGACATCCTACATGCTTCCAGCTCATGCCTGCTACTCTCCCCGCTCTTAGGTCGGTATTCCTCAGAAAGTGATGTCTGGAGCTTTGGGATCCTGCTGTGGGAAGCTTTCAGCCTGGGTGCCACACCATATGCCAATATGAGCAACCAGCAGACCCGTGAAACTGTGGAGAAGGGTGAGTCCTAAAAGGGCTTTACAGGGGAGCTGAAGGCAGAGTGGCATAGTCCATGGCTGGGAATCTGAGCAAAATCCCAGAAATTGTGTGGCAAATGATTCTGAAGAGGTCTGGGAACTGCTTAGTTGCTGCAGGAATGGCTCAGATATACCTTGAGACCTGACAGGAAGATAGAGTATCATGGCCAAGACATAGGGATTCAGCAATTAGTTGCCCTGCAGACCCTTCAGTTGTTCTGCTTTAAGAATCCAGTAGATTCTTTGACAATACTTACAGTGGATGAATGGTTGGTGAAGATGGTGGAACTTGCTGAGATGGCCAGGTTGATTTGTTTGAGTAGACAAAAGACAATATCTAAATTTATTGCTGACTGGAGACCCCTTATGGACTTTTTGCATAAAACAGAAAAAAATGAAAGTATGGATTTGATTATTAAATAGGATAGATTACAGCAAGAAGAGAGTCACAATGTAACTTCAGAGAAAGCGGTCGATTTATATTTTGACTTATTATGCTACAAAGACGATCGGAAGTCACATCTTTGTCTGTCTGTCTGTCTGTCTTTCTTCTTTTCTTTTCTTTTTTTCTTTGTCTCTTCTTTCTCTTTTAGTTGTCTGTTCTTTTTTCTTGTTTATATTAGTATTCGTTTTTACCTAATTTTAAAACATTTAGTAACATAACATATATATAAAGTGTTTTTCTATCGAGACACCTGGTCTACCCCAGCATGTGGGAGGAGCATATTGCATTCCTTTCGCCTTTCAGCTCCAATCCAGGAGCCCTCAAGCAGTCGCATTCACAACAAACCATTTAATACCAAATTAATATTTCGCTGATAAAGAAATAAAGGGAGACTAGTATAGATCTATTTCAAGCTATTTAGCTCTCATCAGCTAGCCATACCCTTACTTGGATTCGAACTTGGGCTGCCTGCATGTTAGGCAGTTGTATTAACCTCTGAGCCACAAGTTCTCCTCCCTTCATCAGCTTGAGCCAGGGAAGAGACTAAGTGTTTTTCTATCGAGACACCTGGTCTACTTGAGCATACTGCATCCTTTCGCCTTTCAGTTTCTTTGTCAGCGAAATATAAATTTGGTATAAAATGGTTTGTCGTGAATGTGACTGCTTGAGGGCTCCTGGATTGGAGCTGAAAGGCGAAAGGAATGCAATATGCTCCCTCCCACATGCTGGGGTAGACCAGGCTCTTTTCATATAATAAAACTGAATGACAGGTGGTGATATCTGAAACAAAAATCATTTCACAATTCATGTTCCATCAAGGCTTTTTCCTGGTAAAAGCTTTATACCAAATAAATATAAGGAACTAAATAAGTAGAAAGAAACATCACAACTCCAGACAGGTTTGCTGTTAGTCATTAAGATAAAATCACTGCTATTGGCTTTCAACTCTGGACTTTAACAATTAACATTCATTTGCTGACTTCAGTAGTATGAAAAATGGTTTCATCAGTTCTGGCTGATTTGCCAGCTAAGGTCATTCCTAGATGAACAGACTGGACTACTGTAAGGCAATGTGCATGTGCCTTTCCTTAAAGATGACTTTAAAAATTGGTTAGCGCAGAGATCAGCCACATAAATTTAACTGCCATAATCAGGTTTGTGATTGGCTGATTGGTCTGCCCGATTTCATTGATTGGTTGATTGATTTTAATTCTCAGGAAGATATTGAGCTGTGCTTTGTTTCTTGTTAGACATCCCTTTTATAACCTGGTTGCCCCTTTTGCCAGGTACTCGTCTAAATGCTCCAGACCAGTGTCCCGAAGAAGTATACCAGCTCATGTTAAAGTGTTGGGAATACGAACCACAGAAACGACCCAGCTTCAGTACCATCCTCCAAGACCTGGTTGTGATTCAGAAGAAGCAACGGTGAGAATGCTGACCTCAGGATATCTGCACGGACACTTCTTAAATTCTGTGTTGTGCTGACATTCCAGACTGTGGCATTTCACTCTTGGCATCTCTTTCTAGTCACATAAGAGCATCACAGGTCACACAGCATCTGTTCAGATCCATATGACCACACACAACCAAGCATTCAGCAGTGGTGGTCAGAAAAGCCCTAAAGCTTTGGTCTTTGAAGTCATCTGTATTTTCTCTAAAATTGATAATAATAATAATAATAATAACAATAAGGTCTGAATTACCAGTATATCATCAAAAATGCATGCATAATTAAAAGCAAATCCCAATCTTCACCTCAAATAAGATAGACAAGGTATGAAGCTATAGAAGAAGGAATTTTAAAGAGTAAGAGGCTTTGTATTTTATAAACCCTTCACTGTGATGGGGTGGAGGTAGGTTTAAATGTTTCATTTGAAATTAAACCATGAAACTTATACCAGAAACAAAGCAAGGGATATTTCATCCAAAACATGCCACAATATTCACCATTTACAATGGCAGCATCTGTTCAGGTCCACATGACCACACACAACCAAGGATTTAAAGGAGCCCAGGGCCCCAGGCCCAATGAAACACATCAACCAAACCCTCATGGTTCCTAGGAAAGCAGCAGCATGGCTGGTCTATAGCTCCAGGCCAAAGCCTCTCAAAGAATCAGGAATCCACATCGGTGATCTATTGGCCTGACCTTTCCTTAAACTGCCATCAGGGCCAGTAACAACAGGCCACCCCAGGGTGATGCAGGCACAGGGATCGAATCCTGCCCTCCCTCCCCTCCCCCGCCCTGGCCCCGGGGATGCATATGGGCTGCTTCTCCAAGGTGAATCATGCTTTCCTCTTTTGGCCTCTCCCTTTGAGGCTATTTAACATGCCAGTTCGGTGAGAAGATGCAGAGGGCAAATGTTTCGGTTTTTTTTAAATGAAGCCAATTTTAGGGCTTCAACAACTCACCCAGGGCGCCCCCTTCCCCCGGTCGGCGCTTTGGGCCAAACGGAGGGCCGGGGCCCCGCAGTCTCCCTTGAGAGCCCACGGGGCCTCTCCCGACTCGACCGCGGCTGCGTCGGGCCTTCGGCAGGACGGGCGGGGAGCGGAGCCCTTGGCCGGGCAGCTGGATCGCCTGGACCCTCGCGTAGCTCTTGCGAGGCGGCAACGGAGCGGCCACGGGCGCCAAGCCGAGGAGGCCGCCCGCGGGGACCCCCAGGCCCCTCTTGCCGTGGGCCTTTGAGGAACGAGGCGGCGCCCCGCTTGCCTTCCCGCGCTTCCGAGGCGCGGATCCACGCCCGGGCCCGGCTCGGCCTGGTCGGAGGAGCAGCGGCGGGCGGGGCGGGGCCGGGCCGGCAGGGGCCGCTGTGACCGCGGCGGCGGAGGCGCGGCTCCCGAGGCGGCGCGGGCAGGAGCGGGCGGCGGCGGCGGCGGCGGCGAGAGGCGGGCGGGCCGCGGAGGAGCAGGGTCGGGGCGGCGAGGCCCCGCGGCGCCGCGGCCGATGAAGCTGAAGAAGCAGGTGACGGTGTGCGGGGCGGCCGTCTTCTGCGTGGCCGTCTTCTCGCTCTACCTGATGCTGGACCACGTGCAGCGCGACCCCGCCCGGCTCCTCCCCGGGGGGCACCTGCCGCGGGTGAGTGCGGGCGGGGGCGCGCGGGCGGGGGCGCGGGCGGGGCCCCCCAGGCTGACCTGGCGGCCCCCCCCGCAGAGCCAGATCTCGGCGCTGCAGAGCCGCATCGAGCAGCTGGAGCAGCTCCTGGAGGAGAACCACGAGATCATCGGGCGCATCAAGGACTCGGTGCTGGAGCTGACGGTCGGGCACGACGGTCGGAGCGCGCCGCTGCCCCTCCGGCTGCCCAACGGCTCCTGGGCGCTGCCCGCCGACGGCCGGCCCGGCTTCTTCTCCGTGGCGCCCGGAGACTGCCGGATCGGCCCGCGCGCCGCCCGCCCCGAGCCCGACCTGCAGGTGAGCGGCGGGGGGGAGGAGAGAGCTGGGAGGGGCGGGGGGGGAGCGCCCGGTGCACCTGCCGTCTCCAACCTCCGCCCGTAGATGCTGGCGGTGTCGGCGCTGTTGCCCTACGACAACCAGGACGGCGGGGTGTGGAAGCAGGGCTTCGAGATCACCTACGAGCCCCACGAGTGGGACGCGGAGCCGCTGCAGGTTTTTGTGGTGCCCCACTCCCACAACGACCCAGGTGAGCCGGCGGGGCAGAAGGCAGGCTGGCCTTCTGGGGGTAGGACTCGGGGGCTGCCTGGCCGGGCCCTGTGGCGGGGAAGGGGCGCTTGTGCAGCCGATGGCCCCCGTCTGGCCCCCGTCTGGTCCTGGAGGGAAAGGATGCAGAACTGGGTGGAGAAGGGGAAAGGCCCGAGCAGAATGAGATGCAACCCACCCAATGCTCGACGGATACATACCTTCGACAACCCACAGATGCACACCTTCCCTTTACCCTATGTGATTTACCCCCACTTCAGTTCTTACCTTCCAGAGTAAGCAGTTACAGAGGCAGAAAAGAATTAAACGGTAAACCAAAGAAATTAAACACATGATTAGAAAAGCAAATGTACCTTGGAAAAGGCAATATAATAGAGAAGGAAATGTGCCTGAAATGTACACCAACACATATCGATCAGAATAGAGCTGGAAAAGGCCTCTGAGGTCTTAGTCCAACGTCTGTCCAGTCTCTTAAAAACTTCCAGTGATGAAGCACCTACAACTTCTGACTGCAAGCTGTTCCACTGGTTAATTGTTCTCAGGAAAGTTTCTTCTTAATTCCAGGTTGTTTCTCTCCTTGATTAGTTTCCATCCCTTGTTTCTTGTCCTGCCCTCAGGTGCTTTGAAAATTAAGTTGACCACTTCCTATCTGTGGCAGCCCCTCGGATATTGGAACTCGGCTATCATGTCCCGCCTATTCCTTCTTTAAAGAAAAGCCATACCCAATTCCTGCAACAATTCTTCATATGTTTTTGTCTTCAGGCCAGTAATCGTCTTAGTTGCTCTCCTTTGCACTTTTTCCAAAGTCTCAACATCATTTTGTAATGTGGTGATCAAAACTAGATGCAATATCCCAGGTGTGGCCTTACTGAAGCTTTATAAAGTGATTCTAATACTTGATGTGATTTTGATTTATGTCTCTGTTTATACAGCCAAGGATTGTATTAGCTTTTTTGGCTGCTGCTGCACACGGCTGACTCATATTTAAGTGATCATCCATTAGGATTCCAAGGTTACTGTTACTGTTTTTGAGCCAGGTTTCACCTACTTGTAGCGTTGGTTTTTCTTTGCTTTTCTCCACATTAAATTTCATGTTGTTGGATAGGGCCCATTGTTCAAGTCTGTCAAGATCTTTTTGGATCCTGAGCTTGTCTTCTGGGGTGTTGGCTATGTCTTGTCTTCATTTCCACTGTAGGTTGGAGATGACTCCTGTTTTTACTCCTGGGGCTGCTGGGGTTTTGTTTTGTTTTTTTGATAACTTAGAATGTATTGGAGAGCTTTAATTGGTTTGTGTGCTATGCTGATACTATGTGGTTGCAATAGTCTGTTGGTAGTTTTGAGATGTTTTTGATGTATGGCAGTATTATAATTTTTACAGCTTGTGCTGATTATGTTATATTGGCTTGAGTGGTCATGCACTTTTTGATGAAGTTTCGTGGATATCCATTTTGTTGCAAGATGTTGCATATTTTAACATTGTAAACCACCCAAAGTCACCTCATGTGAGATGGGCAGCAAACAAATGTAAAAAATAAAATAAAATAAAAAATGGATGATTTCTTTCCTTTTTATGCTATTCAGGGTTGCTGTAGTGTTTGTGTTTGTCTAAATAAAGTTCTTACACAACTTCTCTTATGAGTGGTTGGTAGGGGAGCACTTGATTGGAGTAGGTGACCTTCTGGTATACTTGTGTTTCTAATTTGCCTTCATGGTTCTCTGATGATAAGGATAATCAGGAAGGGTAGTGAATTGTTGTTTTCTTCTTCCCTTGTGAGTTAGATTCCTTTGAAGTTAATGGTGGTTTTGTGGGTGTTCTCTGATTGGTCCTTTTTTATTACGTTGAAGGTGTCATGTACATACCTGATTCATATTTTTGGTTGAATTTGTGAAAGTGCTATTAATTCCAGACATTTTATTATAACCTCCTCTATAAGTCCTGAAAGTGATAGTCTCACCTTTGATTTGTTGGTAACTTTGTCCTTCGAATTGAAAGTATGTGTTAAGCAGAGGTTGATGAGATGAATTGTTGTCATGGGTTCTTTGGCTAATTCTGGGTCTGTGGATGTGAAAAGGTCTGTGACATCAAATGAGACTGTCATTTCACCCTCATTTATTGTTGTGTCTTTGATTCTTTGTAGTGGGGAGTTGATGGAGTATTTGCTTCCCCCTGTGAGGTGCTGCGGCTTTTTGGTTAATAATTTTGAGGTGGGGGTAATGATACAATTGTCAGGCTTGTCTATTTTTTTTCCCTTGGGAATTTTATTGCTTTGAAGATATTGTTGATAGTTTTGTGGGTCTTTATTTTATTCGTTTATTTAAAACATTTATATAGTTGCCCATTTTCTAACAAACTCTGAGCGGCACTCAATCAAGTCTTCTCTAGTTGTTCCTTTTTTATAATAAGAAAGAGGTTGTTTACATAGCAGATCCAGGCCTTTGGTTGTATGCGTGGGAGTTCTGTAGTTTCTAGATGCAGCATTACAGTCTCTGCTATGAATCCTGAAAGTGGACATGTTATTACATGTAATAACATGAGAGTATCATGTTATTCCTCTGGTTTGTTGCTAGATCTTTCAATCAAACTGAAAATAGGTACAGGCAGTCCTCATTTTACAACCATTTGTATTGTGACCCTTTCAACTTACAGTAGGGCTGAAAAAAGTGACTTATATGACCATTTTCCACACGATCATTGTTGCACCCCCTAGTCACATAATCAGAAATAGGACGCTTGGCAACTGACTCATATTTATGATGGTTGCACTGTCCCAGGGTCCTGTGATCACCTTTTGCGACCATCTGATAAGCAAAGTCAACAGGGAAGCCAGATTCACTTAATTACCATGTGACTAACTTAACCACAGGGATTCACTTAACAGCTGGGTAAGAAAGATAATAAAATGGGGCAAATCTCACAACTGTCTTGTTTAGCAATAGAAATTTTGGGTTCAATTGTGATCATAAGTTAAGGACTTCCAATAGTGTGACAAAGGTTGATGCGGTCCACGATTCTGGGTATTTCAATCTTAAATGTAT